GGCCTGAAGCATATCCTATTCCTGATCAAGAGGCTTTAACTGTAGCAGAGCTAGTGGTACAGCATTGGGGTTTTAGGTTTGGAGTGCCTCTTCAGTTACATTTCGATCAAAGAAGAAATTTTGCATCGGCTATAATTAAAGAACTGAGCAAGCTACTGGACATTAAAAAAACTCAAGCTCTACATCCCCCTTCAGACGGCATGGTAGAGGTTTAACCGAACCATCCTGAATGACCTCTCTTTGGTAGTTTTCGAACTGAGACAAGAAGTTACTTCTGTTGTTATTGGCTTATCGCAGTGCTGTCCACGAGACGACCGGCTATTACCCATCTCAGATGCTCTTCGGTCGTGAACTTCTGCCTTGGGATCTCTTGTGTGGTCGCCCTCCGGATGCGCGTTCATCGCCCGAGCAGTGCATCCAAGATCTGCAGGCACAGTTTCGCACGAGAGCGAGTCAACTTGGCGGCGGAGAAAAGCCAAAATACATGTAATACGTGAACTTTTGTAACCAGTGGAGGGAGTGTACTGTATTGCAGATGCGCCCCTCTGATTAATTGTAGTTTGAGAACCTTGACTCATAACGCTCCACAACAAACATGTTCGAGAGTTGGTACTTCGAGAAGTCGATGCCATCAACGAAACAATTGAATGCAATTGCCCATTTTATCACTTCAGTATCTTCCAGTTTGAACAATGTTGTCGGCTTTCTTACAGAGAGTTCGTATCGCTGAATGAAGCCATTCGCCCGGCGTTGTGTTGCTTTAAATTCATCTGACGATATATCTAGCTTTAATGTCATTGCAAGGACAAATGTTTGAATATCAACCCTGCGAACAAGCAAACACTGCTCTTCTCTCAGCATCCCGTTCATTGATGATGTGTTCCAATTCAGGAAATAAAGGCTGCCTACTTAATCCACACTTACGTTTCTTGGCATTTCCCTCGTCGATCTCTAGCCTGAGATCATCATTTGCGGACTATTCTTTGACCCAACTTTTCTCTTTGCAGAAAGCTGCAAGATTTTTATCCCGGGAATCTTCCACAATTACTTTCTTATATTCGAGGGAATACTTTCTTTTGCACTCATTTTATCTAAGCATCGAAGTTTATTATCCTTTAAATTTATTATTAAATCAAGTGCTAAACATTTGTTGCTAATGCGACATGTTGAATACTGAAAATTCCAATTTGTCCTAGTTTTCGTAGCAGTACTAAATAATTTCCATTTTGTTTTTATGTCTTTTTCATCTTTTGACTTTCCTACAGTCATGCTACATGCTTCCTTTTTATGTCCATGTGATGCGTGTTTCCTACCCTCTAATTAAAACCATACTTAACAGTCACATATGTATCACAATGCACATAGTTAATACACATCGGCTTGGGCCAGGGCTTCATTTCTAAGATTAGAAGTGCCGGAGCCCTATGGAAGACCGTCAGCAAAGAGGAACAAGAGTAAATAAATAAATAAAATGACTATTAAACTCATTAATAATTCTAAAATTAAAGAGTTTATTATTATCAAATTAATTGATAGCTTTTTAATTAATGTTTAGAAATTGTTATTTAATCAATAATTATTATATAATTATTAATTATAATTTAATTGGTAATTATTAGATAATTAATTATTATTTATTGGAATAATTATTCAGCTACATAAAATTCATTTCTACTGAAATTATTATTCAGCTACATAAAGAAGTGCCGCAGTCTTCTTATTTAGGGCTCCGGTGCGTTCCGGCTAGAATTATCATTTATTACAAAACTAATTTATTTAAGCCCAATTTAAGCTCTGATCATAAGGGGGGAGTTCTTTTATCATCACAAAAATTAAATGTACTTAAAGTATAGCTGATAAAAATTCCAGGGCAAAACAGAATGAGGGTATAAGTGGATGGAAACAAAAAATGAGGGGAATCTTGGTGAGAGAGAACGTTTTCTTTGACCATGGCTCTCTGCTGATATAATTATAGCCATCAAGCAGATGTGTGTAAGGGGTAAAAGGAGTCCTGAATCTAACTCCTAAGGATGAATGCAAATTTGCTGGTTACACTTTTCCCCCCATTAGTGGATAGTGTGGGAAGACGATGTATAGGACGTGCTTCAGCAGTTTATCTCAGTATTTCACTGTTATTGTTCTCGCTGTCACTTAACTCACATTTAAGAACTCAAATTTTCCTACCTGCGAGGATAACTAACTGTAAGCATCGATAACAATACACTCGATACGATGGCATGGCGAGAAATTTACGCGTTCCTAAACAAACTCCCCCAAATTTATTGCTTTTCTTAAAGGGAAAGGTTTTCGCTTGTGATTGAGGGGACTTTACTTGAACGTCTCATGTTCTCATGAGTTCGTATTTCTAGGGAAATAGAGTATTGCCACGTCTACTTGTTATTAAATTAAAACGTTAGGAATTTAAAATTTTTTCCCTTTAAATTGTGGTTCAGTTTTATAAAGAGAAGTACCAGAGTTCATCTTATTTAGGGCTCCGGTGCGCTCCGGCTAAAATTGTAATTTATCTTAAAATTACGCCGGAGCCCGACTCCGGTGTAATTTAAGCACTGGCTTGGGCCGTCTTTTCTCTTCTTACCTGCAATTTCCCTTAAGGGTCTATACCAGGTTACTAGTCTATACGAGTATATGACTGTTGTAAGGGTCTGTACGAGTGTATGAGGTGCCTGTAATAGTGAGAGGAAATTCTTGCTGACATTAGGCATGAAACAAAGTGTCAAATCTCATTCACAGATATTCAAATTCGGATTGAACTACGAGAGATTATCCACAAGGCTAAATAATGATTATTAGTTGATAATTGTCAGAACTCTGCGCATTGTGTTTTCTTTTGAAAGTTGCTAAGTTTATTTTGCCTGTAATAATAATTATTGGTTAGTTAAATAATAGGTATTGGCTAGTTAAGTTGAACTTGTTGTTTTGCTGTTTAATATGCAACTTGCAGTATAATTTTCGTAATGTAGCAGTAAAATTTTAACACTTTCATAACCTTCTCATGTCTGTAACATATTTAAAGTATTCGATATTATTTTTATTTAAATTATTCGGTAATATTTTAATTTCAGAAGGTTTTTGTTTATACATTTGTGTGAGAGATTGTTTCATAGATGCATATAAACGATATCTCATTTGTGATAAGGGAAAAGCGTAGCAAGTTCCTTTTGTTTTGTACAAAAATTACACTGGTCTTTTTAATTAAAATTAGAAATCCAAAGCGCAAAAATTAATATTAGTATGGTGAATTTTAGATGTTTTAATTTAATCAATATTTTCCTATATGTAGATGTGCAAATAATTAGTCTTGAAATAAAAGTTACTTAGCTAGACTTCTAGTTCTGATTTTTGTATTTCCTCTATTTTCTTTACCCACTCCTTTAAGTCCATTCTTTTGTCGCCTTTAATTGGAAAATATGATATGTTTAGAAATCAGAATGATTTTCTTCTTCCCTTTTCATAATATTTTAGGCTGTGTAAACAGTGTATTTAGTTATTCAAAATTACTTAAAATAAAGGTGTATAAGGTATTTATCCCTCCTTCCTAGCGTGCCATAATGGTGTAGTGGTTCTGCACGCTGAACCGGTATTCCAGAGGTCCGTGGTTCGATTCCCGGCAAAGGGGATTACTAATTTTTCATCTCTCCGGCTTTTCCAAATAAACTAATATCTCTGCAGTGGTGCCCAAACTAAAAGAGTTGTGGATGATGACTCTCTACACCCAGGATTTGGCGATTGGGTTCCCTAAAAACCCCCAGTCGCCCTTTAAAAGGGGGAGTATATAAGGTATTTATCCCTCCTTCCTAGCATGCCTTCGTGGTGTAGTGGTTCTGCACACTGGGCCAGTATTCCAGAGGGCCATGGTTCGATTCCCGGCGAAGGCGATTGCTGATTTTTCGTCTCTCCGGCTTTTCCAAATAATCTAATTTCTCTACAGGTGTTATGTGATCTTTAGCTTTACTTTTTGATTTGCTCCATAAAATATTTCTTTCTTTCTTTCTTTCTTTCTTTTTTTTTTTTTTCCAAAAATAAATGAGGAAGTTACTTTTTCTGAGATAAACGTATGACCTATTCCTGTTTCAACTTAAACGAAACAATGAAACTATTTTAAGAAATATACGTCTTTTTTCATTTTTCACTAGTACACACACTAAGTAATAAATGAATGAATAAGTAAAATAAAATGAAATAAATTAAGCGTTATGTTCAGGTTTGAAATATGTTTTGTTCAAGATTAAATGAACGTGCAGAAAAGGCTGATCGAAGGCAACTGACTGTAAGCAAATATCTTGCCAGGGAAGGGAACTGTTATAATAATGATATTAAGTTTCTCAAGTCTGCTTTTAGGAAAAAGATCACTTGTTGTTTGAGAGATAACTTCTAAATGTAGGACAGTTAGCCAGTATGTAATACATAATTACATTTCCATTAATGGTTAAAAAGCTTCATAACCACTGTGTTCCAATTTATATGCCACTCATTCATTTCTTAAATATGTATCTATTGTATTTTATATGTATGTTATCTAAATTAATTAAAAAAAATTAGAAACATGTAAGTAGCAGGTTTAATTTTACTTGGACCACAAGGAAGACCATGCCATGTAGATAACTGAAGTTCTCAATATTTGGAGTGTAGTCAACTGGAATTTTATTGCATAGCTTAAATTTGGCATAATAATGCAAAGCTGTAGGTTTGGATTTCATTCAAATGATGATTCCTAAGAACTTCACTTACGCATTGACCTAATAAAAGATTCTCTTATATGTGTAATATTCACACATAGTATTTTTACTGGATGCTGATGTGAAATATATTAATATGCCCCTAATATAAGTACACACATACACATGTTCTTTTTTCCTCCTTGTCTTCATTTAATTCACACTTTAGTCTTAATCAAATTAACTCATACTTTTCCCCCATGTAACATATAGCACAAAGTCATTCTGTTTTTATGATGTTTAATGTATATAATTTTGTTCTAGTTACATTTGGCAAAACTGGATTCACTAAAAAGCAAAATTACAGAGCTTACTACTATCATACAGCATACAGCTCAAGAAAGAGATATTCTTGAAAGGCAGCTCAATAGAACACAGGTATTAAGTTTGCTTATTCTCATTTTTATGAATATTTAAATTTTTGTTATATTTATTAGTATACAGTCAACAGTCGTTAATTCGGACACCCATAATCCGGAATGATCTATAATCCGGACCTCAAAGCTAAAAACTTTCTGCGCATGTGCCGCGTTGGCACATGCGCACAGGCGTTTTACGCGTGCGCGTAAGACCTTGACTACTGCGCATATGCGTGTGCGCAAGTGCAGAATACGTTTTTGCCTGCGCGTTTAATGTATAACGGACGGTGTAAGCTAAAATTATCTAATTAACTAGTTCAGTTAATGTTAATGATTGCGTTGTTCCTTAATCTTCGAATTGGATCTGGCTTATTATTTTTTGCAGACTGTAAGGGCAATTTTATAAAAGTAAACTTGAACTTTCGATTATGTCAAATAGAATTTCCGATGCTGGAACTTCCAAAGGATCTACAAAACGAAAGTATGTTTCGATGTCCAACAAACAAAAAAGTGCAATTGCTGCAAAAAATGGATAAAGACATGAAGAATGTGACAGAGAGGTTAGTGAAAACGAAAAAATTTCGATTGACAAGTTAGTCGGTATTCTCGGCACAGCAATTAACGGGACTTGAACAGCGGAACTTTGTAACTGAACAAGAAATTATGTCTGTTTATAGAATTAAAGAGAAAGTATTATCACATAAAATGAAGCAACTTAAACAACGTACATTGAAAGAAATGTTTAATAAAGTAAACAAATAAATATTAAGGTTTTTTTTTTTTTGTAAATTTTGATACCCTTTAGATCACAATTGTTCTTTATTTCATAAATTACGGTTTCATATTTTTAATTTTAGAATTTCTGCATGCCATCTTACCAGATTTAAACTGATGATCTATAATCCGGAATCGCCGAAGTCCCGACGAGTCCGGAACGACTTTTGACTGTATATATAATACATATATATAAATTAGAAACAAATATAAAATACATACATACATATTATTATAAGTAAAGTTGTAAGAACAAACAAAAAAAGACCAATTTAGGTCAAAATTTTGCGCATTGTGATATATATATATATGAGGTTGTTTGCTATTATGAAATATGCAGAACACCAGAGAACTTTTATGCATCAAAAATAGATGTACTGTTCAAGTTTTGTGCAACATAATCAGTATATCTGTATATGTGTATTAGCTGCACATAGGATGGTCAAATGGTAGTCCAATTCCTGCCACATAAAAGAAACACAAAAGAAAATACTGCAGAATGTTGGTTGGAACATATTCAAAGGCTGCAGTAATGCATACTTTAGGATTGTACCCTATCTTTGATATAGCCCCACAGAAAAAAAAAAAGAGTACCTTTGCGATGATTGAAACCATGATAGAAAAGGATTAGATTAACTGAAACCCTGATGAATATTACTAGATGTACTAGTTCCATTACTCACTGCTAAGGTACTGTTGCCAAATTTTGACAATTGTTGACTTTTTTCTATAAATAGGGGGAGAAAAGTAGACAGAGAGAGAGATTTTATGTATTTTATTGTATAGGATGACAAAGTTACATAAATCATTTGTGGATATCCTTATGAAGAAATCAATGAAGTAAGGAATAAACAGGATGACAAAGCTTTTTACCCTAGCTTTATGTGTTAAAATTAATGGTACTTAATGATGTATTGACATAGCCACCTTGGCAGAGTTTGATGATTAGGAAACCAGGGAATATACAATTTCAAAAATATTAATAAATACATATATATTTATATATTCTGTGTTTTAATTATCAATTTATTCTGTAAATCAGTCATCAGACCTCTTAACAATTTTTTTTTTTTTTTTTTTTTTTTTTAAATCTTTTATTGTGATGAAAGTTTTGTGTCAATTTCTCTAAGAATAAATTCAAAGCAGTTGTTCCTTTTAGCAATTTTATGGCAAAATATTGCATTCCTGCAAAAATTTTACCCTAGCTTCTTCCATTTTTGATAGATCTTGCAAGCTTTAAAAGAAACTGAGTTTAAGACAAAAAATATTTGCCTATTAAAACCATTGTAATTTCTAATGCAACAAAAAGAATATACAATTTTGATATGAAAATTGCAACTTGGTTGTTAAAACTCAAGAATATTTATGTGCATCAGAGTTTGGCATATTCTAAAAATTTGATGATTTCTTGAAATGTGGTCGTACTAATATATAACTGCCAAATAGCTTAATAAAATAGATTTATATTTTTTTTTCTCACAAGATATTAAGCTTTAAATTCTGCTATAGGGGTTCTATTTTACATGACAGTTTTAATGAATTTGGTAGGATCATTCACTATATCTTCTTAAAAATATATAAATTTATTAATTAATCTAATTCTTTCCATGTAATCTTTCTTTCATTTATATATACTAGCCTTCAAAATTAAAGGACAATAAATTACAATGTTTGGCCATTGATTATTTGAAAAAAAATTAAAATTAAAATCAAATTTATAGAAACTGGAAAATGATTGAAAATTTGAATCAACTCATGTGTGGAAAAAATTTTTTCTTTAGTATGGTGTATCATTACCTTGGACAGATATGCATACCTCACATCTTAATTTCATAGATTTTGACAAATGTTGATCTAGTCTTGCGGAATTTAATGCTACTCTTCCAAATTTCTGAATCTTCTCCAGGAGCTGAAAAGTGCACTTTTCAGCTTCTCAAGGGTCTGTGGAGGAATTTGGCCTGCTGAAATTTGGTGCCCTAAGGCATCCTTTACATAATTGTGTTTAAGTCAGGTGAGTAATGTGACCAGTCCATTTGAGTGATATCTGTTGTTGTTTATGCTAACTTGTCAGCCCAAGCCCACAAAAATCCTTGTGGCAGGAATTATGCCTGCCGTTGACAACAGCTTTGGGCACCATTCAGGTGACTGTGCAATTTTGCTTAGTTCCATCCCCAATTTTGATGGAGAGCACCTCGGGTGTATGTGTCCAAGGGTCTCCCATCAGCACATATTTAGTGCCACAATGCCGCACCAACATTACACATTTACAAACATCCATGCCTTCTCTGCAATTCGAATCCAGGCCCTTCGGCACATCTGTCAATGACGCTAACCACTATATCGGCTGGATGGATGTTATCTCCTGTTTGAAAGTATTCTGACATCAGATATGCTCAATGAGTCCGAGTATTGCTGTCCATTAGCAAAACTCAGCACCCCTAAACAGTCCAACTTGGGGTCCAGTACCTCATCCATATATCTCCGAGCAGTTACAGATACTCCTTGAAAGATATGCAGCTCGAATGACCGTTAGTCATAATTTCTCCCCGAACCATTAAACTGCGGTTATGGAAAAGGTGTATTTCACGGACAAGGGAAGGAAAGTTGCATGTTCCCTTCCCTCTGCAGATCAACACATGCCTAGAATCGCTGTTCAGACTATATTTGGACTCGTCAGTAAACAAAATACTTTAGCCTAATCATCTTGGCTCCATTGAACATGATGATGGCACCAGTTTAAATGGGCCCCTTTGGAAGCTGGAGTGAATGGGACATAAATGGGACCCAAACCATTGGATCCCTAGCATATAGTCTGCCCTTGTTAACCCTCCTTGCAGCAGTAGAATGGTTAGTTCAAGTTCCTGTAGAATGCTGAAGGTCTAGAACCAAATCTCGTATAGTCACTTCAGAGTTTCTTTGAGCTGACAATGACAGAAAATGATCTTATGCAGTTGTTGGTTTTGGTTGCCCTTGACCAGGCTGTCTATCAACCGATCCAGTGCTTAAAAAATGGCTCCCAACTCTGGATGTGATACTTTGATTGGTAATCAAATCTTGGGCAAACATAATCTCCATTTGTGTTTGATCTTCTTGATTCTACCAATTATTTGCCACTTTTGACCTTTACTTAAATTATGCCTTTGAGTGATAACTACTGAATACTCATCACTCTCAGAAATTAGATTCATTTTAATCAACACTACAAACTAAAACTCCAACGTGTGTCCATTGTACACCACATTGTCAGTCATCGGATTTACATATTTTCAGCACTAACGTATGCACTGAAGTGCAGTTGTGTTCTGTTGTATTTAATTAACATAAATAATTACAGCATTGGGCATTGATTGTAGCATTTACTTAATGAGAAAATTTTTTCTCATTATCTTTTAATTTTGATGACCAGTGTACTTCTTTCTTCAACCTGACAGCATTGCACTAACTGTTTGTGAAAGTAGAATTAAAAACTCAATTTTAGAAGCAGGAAAACCCTGTCATTTAAAGCAATTAGAAATTAAGCAAAATTTATAGAAAAAATTATTGTAATAAGACAAAAAATAGGACGTATTATTGTTTAAGTATGCCAGTCTTATATTGAAAGATTGTTTACTTTCTGATATATTTTTTATATCCATTTCATCCTTTGCATGTTTTCTGTAAATGAGCAGCTATTTTTTGTAACAAGGCATTAGCATAATGGAATAATTACTTATGCCTTTTAAAAACACTAAAGAGGTGTTTTCTAAAGTTCAATTACAATGTAACTGCTTTTTTCTTTCTTATATAACTCAATAGGTTTGAGTTTTTATGTTGTTTTTATGTTAATCCTTTTATTAATCATACTAATCATGATGTCATACAAATTAATAAAATGTGAAAGTCTGAATAATGTGAATTTGTGTTTGTTTATTTATTTTTTTTTTACTTTAAATTTATTACTTCCTTTTGTAACTAATGTATATAGAGCGAGTAAGATAAAGAGGTATTTTTTTAATGTGTGTGTTTTGTTTGTTCTTTGAAACTTAATTTTTATTATCTTTAAATTACAATAGATTATTCCTTATATATGAATTTCTTAACTTATTTATTAAAATGTGTTTTTAATTTGTCTTCTTAGCTTGATAGGCTAAGATTAGTTCGAGAGCAAGAAGAGAGGTTAGATCAGCAAGCTCAAAGGTATGAGGAAAGATTGACAGAACTTCATAGTGTAATTGCAGAATTATCTAAGAAATTAGAAGCTCAGAGGGCTAGTATAATAAAGTATGTCTTATATAAGTGTTTCAAATTAATGCATTTTACTCTTTTAAAAATGTATTATTACTATGTTCCTTATTTACACTTAATATTTTCAAATTTTTCATTTTAAAAAAATGTATAATTATGATTCCATTCTGCAATTCATCTTTTCAGTTTAATGCCATGAAAAGTAGTGTGTATAACTGTGTGACAATAGAATTGAATAATTATTTATTTAGCAATTGTTCTAAAACATGCATTTCATAGATATCTTTAATAAATTAGTCTTTTTTTTTTTTTTTTTTTTTTTTTTTTGTAAATTTATTTAAAATAAATCGGTATTCTCTTAGTCCTGAAGTTTCATGACAGACATAATTTGCATGCTGCTATTGATAATTACCCAAAATTTCTAATTTAGGAGCTGTAAATTAATAAACAATTTTAGAATCGATATACCATTCTTAGTTGATTGTCATGCATGCTAGCCATTCATGCATTCATTTCTGAAACAAATGATGCTGAAAAGGACTTTTTTTTAAAAATAAATTACAAATAAAGTTTTAGTTTTTGCAGTGAAAGCTATTACTTAAACTTAGATTCTTCAGTTGATGATTTTAGGAACTGTATTTTCAGTTATAATTTTTGAAAGTGAATTTAATGACTTGAGTAAACATAGCAAAGAGCATTTAAAGGTTGATTTTATTATTTACATCTCTATCTTAAAACATAATTTCTAAAATGTTTGAGAAGTTATGTATATATACTACATATGTTGATTTTGAGTATAGGGCTGTTCTAATGGTCCTAAAGTTTGTTCTTCATCCACCAATTTGGCAAGTAGGTATAGAGTGCATTTTCCATTAATACTAAACTGAGTGCAAATTCTTTTTCCATTTGCTTTATTGTTTAAAGGTTTGGGTTTGGTTTGGTTTAGTTTATTATGACAAAGCACGCTTGGACTGCCTGCCTAAGGGGAGGGATGTCTTCATGGAGGACTTTCTAAGGGAAACTCGCTTGTATACATATGAAAACCATGAAAATGGTTGTGCAGCTAGCCTATTTGCCTGGAATCAAACCCAGGTCAGAACTACCAGTGTTCAGCAACTTTACTGCTTGGCCACTAGTGGACCTTTATTGTTTAAAGAAATGTTTCATTTGTTTAAAGGAATTGCATTTTGAGAAGACCTGCCGGTAATTATTGTGTTCATTGTGGCTTAATCTCAGGACAATTTGCTGCGTATTTGGCTGTTTCATTTATAACAACCTAGTATAATTCTTTTCAACTTTATTTACTTATATCATGAAAAATTTGTGTATGCTAATTTATTTCTGTATTTACAGAGAAGAAGATGAATGCAGTCAACAGTCTGGGGAAGATTCTAGATTAAGTGAAACACAGAGCCACTGTACAAGCAATGACAACAATGCAACTGAATCTTGTAGTGATAGAGGTTGATAATATATTTTATACTACATATTTAATTTATATTTTTATGTTATACATTGGGATAAGTTAAGTATGCAACAGTAAAAATCAACAAAAATGGAAAAGGAAAGCTTTGATTTGATTAACACTAAATTGTGCATGACGTTTGTGAATGTGCTTATGCATGATATGAAACAAGCATTATGTATGGAGATCAAAACAATATTTAGTTTTTGTAAATTATATGATGAAGTCACATTTGAATCATTAACAAATTCATGTTTAAAATATTAAAAACAAACACAACTTACATTTGCAATTTATATGACCAAATTAAACTTTCTCACAAACTTTACAGCAATTGCCTGTGCTTTTAGTTAGGTGATCAAATATTGCAGATACTAGCAGTGAACATTCAGAGCAGTTTCCAGCTATCTGAGACTGGCTGGAGGAAGTAAATGTGCAAAGATAGCATGCGGTAGAGCATTCCAAAGATTTTCAATAAGTTAGGGAATACAGCAGTCCACTACATATGAGAAATGCCTTCACTCTGTAGGTACTCGATAATAATGAATTCTTGATGGGGAAAAGTAATATCATCAATGAGAAGGAAATCAGGACCAACTACTACTGTGTATGGTTTCACAAATGGGTGTAGAACTTCATCCTGACACCATGCAGCCATTACAAAACCAACTGTGCAACTGGGTGCAATATCCCATTGAAATTCTAGTCTATGCTGGGTTGTTACTATCTCTGAATGCATGATATTTGATGATATTCTGGAGCTGATTTTATGTATCTCATTCGCTTCAGCCTTTACATGCTTGTTATCCGATTGATTCTAGGGCAGATCTGGACTCAATCATTAGCAAAATGTTGTGCCATTTTGAGACTGGCCAGCTGAGTTGTTGATGACAACACTTAATCCTGCCTTTTTGAGCTGGGCACTTAGTGAAAAACAAATATTTGATACTTGGGCATACAATCTCTTCATGTGAAGCCTTTGGCACTCTATACTGGCACGCATTATCTTACCTGCTGCAGCTATGGATGTAACAATTGTGGAGGTTACTCATTGATTCCATTTGCCAACTACAGCAATATACTGATCTACAGAAGGGTAACCTTGGTAATAAACCTTGATTAAATAAAGATGATTTAAATAAAGTTCTTTCAACAATGAATTCTATTGATCCTGTTATTCAGTTCACTTTTGAACTTGAGACTTGCAATTCTCTTCCATTTCTCGACATTCTGGTCACACGTATCAACTCCAACTTCAGTACTACGGTTTACCGTAAACCTTCATTGGTTTGCCTTCCACCACACTTTAAATCATGTCATCCGACTAAACAAAAGTTAGCTTCATTTTATTCCTATGTTTTCCGTGCTCTTCAAGTTTGCTCCTCCAAACTAGCCCTTGATGAAGAACTAAAATTATTTTAAAAGCAATAGCTATTGACAGGGGCTTTTCACCCACATTATTAATCAAGCAGTTAAAAAATTCTCATCTCAACACACTAAAAGCCACACTCTTATTTTAGGAGATTATAAAAATTCTGTTGTCATTCCCTTCATTTCCATCAATTAGCTATAAAAGTTGCATGTATTTTGCAGAAATTTAAATTTTCGGGTTGTTTATTCTCCAATCAATAAAATTCCGAGTTCCATACTCAAGGATCCCATTCCGGATATGAATTCCTTGAAGGGTTATAGGATTCCCTTGACAGTTTGATTTAATTTACATTGGTCAAACAAAGAGAGCCTTAAAATTTCATGTTCAAGGAACATGAGGCATATGTTAGGAAAAAAGGAAACACAGAAGGTCTTCACTTGCCCAGCATTGTTGGTCCTGAAAATCACACTTTCAATTTTTCTGCTGCCAAAATTAATCAAAAAACATCATCCATTGGAGAACTGGATTTTCTAGAGGTATTTCACATTAAAATAATATTTCTGTTCTAGTTAACGATCCTAATTTCAATCCATCTTTATTACCTTTGGCCTATAAAGAAATTATGTTTTAGTTCTGGTTTCACCAACAGATGGCGCCACTTGCTTATTCTTGCCCAGGCTTTCTTATCTTATCTAAACACTATTTCCTATCTTGTTCATTTGCGGTTTTGCAGCTGAGGATGGTGGTTCGGTAAAACCATCGAAATTAGTCTTGTGAAAATTTTGAAAATGTAACGCTGATTTTTGTTGTTTGACTTCTGAATTAATAAACCTTGGTTGACCAGGCATAGATATCTGGACAACTGTTTTACTCATTTGGAATTGTTTCCAAATTTGAGAAATTACCAATTGATCAATGCCAAAGATATGAGCAATGTCTTTGATTGACTATTTTGTATCTTGGTACTTGTGCAGCACAAGAGCCTCACTGTCTGTCATTCATCTTTTTTCAGTCATAGAAATGTGACTAAATGTGACCAGGCATAGATATTGGACACTGTTTTACTCATTTGATTGTTTCAAATTTGAGAAATTACCAATTGATCAATGCCAAAGATATGAGCAATGTCTTTGATTGACTATTTTGTATCTTGGTACTTGTGCAGCACAAGAGCCTCACTGTCTGTCATTCATCTTTTTTCAGTCATAGAAATGTGACTATCATAAAAAATTATTCTACAAAAAATTATAAACACTTTATATGAGTATTTGAATGAACCCCTTAAACTTTTCAGGATACTGGAATCTTCAGCTGTTACCTGATTAGCATATGTGCAGGTTGTCAGTCAGGATTAGTTGTGATGTATGATATTTGTTCATCTGCATCTGGATCTATTTTGAGACACAGGAATTCAGTATGCATTCGAAACTTAGTAATTTGCATAATGTACTTATCTTATGGAAGCCAGCATATATTTAATTGCCCAACATTATACAGGGTTTGTTACCATCTTTAAAAGTCCTTAAGTTTTTTGGAACCGATTTTTGGTCCTAAATTTTAATCATCTGAACTTTGTAGCTGTTTTTATGACTGCCATTTCGAATGTGAATTAGCATTTTGGAGAAATATTTTTAGCAATTCATTGACAAATATAGTTTCTATCGAATGCGTGAATAGGTTCATGGATTATAATTTGTTCCCATTTCTAATATAAATGGTGGGACACTCAAGTTTCTAAGCAAGAAGTGAAACATAAGCATTTTGAAATTATTTCATTTTTTTCTAATGAAGAGCTCGTAAACAGTTTTTGGGAGTGTAAATTCTTTTATTAAATGCTTCTAAATTTGACAAATTCTTCAAAATGATATAAAAAATAATGTTCATTCAAATAAGGTGTTGTGCAGTAATTTAGGAAACAGAGCTGGCAATTTTATCTAACTCTTAATCTCTGTGCATGCTTCTGGAAATAATAAGTCAAATGAGACTGAATAAGAAGGTCCTGTGCAGAAGCTGGAATCAAGAAATGCCAGTTACTTTAATGCAAATTGTTAACTTTCTGTTTAGCATTAAAAATCAATCAATTTTTCTATGCAACTAATGAAGGTTAAAACTAGCCATAATTAATTTATAATATAAAAACTAGATCATAAGATGCATTTTTAGTGCTATTTAAGAAACATAAGAAAACATCTGTGTTTTTAAAAAATACCTGTGTCATGGTAGCAAGTAGCAAAAATGGAATTATTTGCTCAGTGTAGCCTTTGAAACTGTATAAAATTATGATAGTGAGATAATTTAAAAATTTCAATTGCTGAATTGTTAAAAGTAATGTAACATGTATATGTTTTGTTGCAAATTATGTATCAATAAAACTATTATTACGTACAATGCAAGCCATATATAACAGTCAAAGAGCCACTTCTGGCCTGCAAAACACAGTTTCACCATGTATGTTCTGTATGATCAGATCAGGGGGGAAAAATGGCCTGTTTAAAAATAGGAAGGAAAAAAATGTACATCAACGGAGAAATGGCTTTATTCATTATGGCACAATAATAGAAAGCATTATTTCTTGCCAAAGTCACCATGAGGTTTTTTTCCTATATATTGCAATTCATATAACCAACTTTTAAAAAAAGAGAAAAGGGGGCTGCTTGAGTTCCTTCAGACATTTTAGTATATTTGCTACGTTTTGATGTTTTTTTCCCTCAGTTATTTTATGGTCATTAATAGTATTAGATTTTTATATCTAAAGATTTAGTCAATCATTGTTAACAGTTCCGTGATTTTAAGTGATAATGAGTTCAGATTTCTGAATCAAACAGAAATTTAAATTAATTAAATGTGATCATACATCTTACATCATTGGATAAAGTATAAGGTCTTTTGGGGAGGGGCGAGGTGACCTCAATTGATTTCAGTGGTGTGCTGTTTATAAGGAATAATTTTCATATATTCAGGGGCAGAAATTTTTTTTATTATTAATTTCATCCAAAACTATAAAGATCAAAATACCTTTTTAAATACATGATTGTAGTTAAATACTTTAGAAATCAAAGAAATAATTTTTTACCTGAGATTTTATTGATCATATGAACTAAAACTGAAGTTGTGGTATCTCCATTTGAGAACTGCATTGAAATATTAACAAAATTTCAAGAAATAAAAGAAATGTATGTTCAAGATATAATAATAGTAGATATTATGTATATATGAATAATTTATATTCAGATTGCTTAAATTTCTCTTTGATAATTTTGATTTAAAATCTGTCATTGCTAGCAGCTTCATAATTCAGTTTTCAGCAACTTATAACCAAGAATTTTGTTATTACTGAAAATAAAAAGCTAAACAAATTTTTTGTGCCTTCACATAAACCATGTAGTTTAAAAAGTCATTGCACACATACTATTCATTTATTAAATTTAAAAAAGAGTTATTAAATGAATTCTGCTCTAACTCTTCAATCTGTTAACTAAAGGCATTTAGAATCAATATTATTCTCATTGAGAAATTATCAAAGCAAATTTAAAAAGAATAAGAGTTTACTTGAAAATTAAATGTGAATAATTATAGGAAACTCTTGATTAACAATTAACTGAGTATTGTCTAATGTTTATTGCCAAAAGGTAGAAAAAAACTATTACAAACCAAGCAAAATTTCTGCAGAAAATACAAAAAGGAGAAGAAAATAGGAAATATATGTTTTTATTCACAAAAGTATATAATTTAATTGTGCATAATCTGGAATATATGAGCATTGTCATAAGGTAACTTGCATTATCAATAAGCAAGAAAAACAGAGTTCTTTCTGTTTTAAATATTGATTTAGTATACATAACCAAATAAATGTATTTTCTACATTAAACTGCTTAAAAGCACTAAATTTTAGTATTTTTTACATAATGATCAATTAAAATGGTTATTTTAATCTTAAATTAGTATTTAGTCTCTTAATGATTAATTAAAATTAGTATTTTCCTGTTAATGATAACATGGGTTATTCTTTCATATGTGATTTTTAATTGCAGTCAGATTAGCCTTGATTTTGTGTTGACCCAAAATTGCATGTTAGTCTTAATCCAGTTGTGAATAATTGACTGTGTAATGAATTACAATACCTGTGGTTAGCACATACAGTTGGAAACTTGAAAGGTTAAATGGTTAGAAATCCTGATGAGGGCACAATTAATGATTTCTCATTTTTCCTGCAGGGTTTTCATAAAGGTATAATATGCTTAACACTAAACTCTTCATACACTGAATATTACTAATGTAATCACTATCTGTGACCTATTAGTGACAGAATTTTTTTTTAATACGACAAATACTGAAATTGGTTTGGAGTTTACATTGTTCTTAGTATTAGTACCCCAGTTCTTAGTACCCCAGTTACTTGGGAGACTACTGTATACAATTTCATTTTCTATTACTGCTTTTGCAGTTGATAAATCGCGCACACAACTAACATCAATGTTTTTTCCTTTAGAACTTTCGAGGTTTGGTGGTGAAGAAGATTCACGTCATGAAAATTCTCACACCATTTTGCAAGATGGTGAAGAAGCTAGCAGTGGTCTTGGTGATAATGAAAGTTCTGAAGACAGACCTATGGAGGTTATTTCCTTGTACTTTTCAGTATTCATGTTTATTATTCATTTTGTGCATTCTTTTCCCATTTTCCTTAAACGTTAAAGATGATGATTGTAGAGCTTAGTTATTTGAAGGTATTTTTATGCATTAAATTTCTTTAATTTATTCTAGATTTTATTGACTGTGTATATACTATATACTTTTCAAAATCTTATTCTTATTTAAACATTATTTATCAAAGCTCTTTTTTTTTTTTTTTTTTTTTTTTTTTTTTTTTTTATATATAGACTTCAAGAGACAGAGAAATGGAAGGTTTTAATGAAAATAGAGCGACCTCTTGTCATAGCTTACAAATATCTCAACTTCAAGAGGAAATTTTTGTCTTACGAACAGCAAATACAGCACTGCGACAACAGTTAGATAGGCAAGAAGCTGAGCTGAATCGTACGCGAGCTGTTCTTGCTAGTTGCAGAGATGAAAGAGATAGATTGCAGAGAAGGGTGAGGAAAATGTTTAGTGTATTATATGATGCTTAAATATTTTAATTGAAATGCATACTGCTAATATTTACTAAAAGCTACATGCTATCTGTAATATTATATGTTTATTTTCTCCTTCAGATGTTTTTACATGTAAGGAATAAAGTACCATTTGCACCTTTCAATAGATATTTTTTTCTCTGTATCACTCATTTTCAGCTTTGATGTGTAGTGTATAAAACCTTAAAAGTAAGCCTAAATTCACTATAGTTATTTAAAAAAATTAATTTAGTAATGTTAATTAATGTGTAAAGAAACGTTTGGAATTATTCAACCTTTTAGTATTTGTCATATATGTATATATATAAAAAAAAAAAAAAAAAAAAAAAAGATTGGTCACCAATAGGTCATTGATAGTGATTATATTAGTAATATTTCAATGTATGAAGAATTTAATGCTAAGTATATTTATGTCTTTATAAGAAAACATTGGAGCAGCAAATATGAAGAAATCATCAACTGTGCCATCATCAGGATCTCTAATCATCTAATCTTTCCAGTTGGCAATTCGATGTGCTATCCAGGGATACTGTAATTCCTTACATAGCCAACTATTCCGTAACTGGAAGTCTTTAATGATGATATTAATGCAAAGAGACCTGGAAATACACTAAACATAGACTAAACTAGCACTAGTAGTATTTTAACATCATCATTGCTATAGCTAAACTTTTTGATACAGTAGCCATCCCTTAATATGTAATTGGCTAATGTTATCATTCGGATATTGTAATTAAATTGCCAATGTCCCACCCACTGTTATACAAAAATATGTATATTGCTTATTGTACTGAACAAGTTGATTAATGTGATTAACCCAAAACAGAAAGATGGTTGCACATTCTTATTCACTTTTAGGTATAAATACAACTCTGGCTTTCTCTATGGCTGTTGCAAATTCCTGTTGTGAATAAAACATTAAAATGAACTTTTTACACTGAAGTAAAGTTGCCAGGTAAGATCAAAATAGAATCTAGAAATTGCCAAATGACGGAGGGAATCTTCATGTAAAGAATTATATCTCCAAGCAACTTGGTTTTGATTTAAATTAACCATGTAGAAAAGAATCCTTTTCCAAGTTTTATAAAAATCTACTAAACTGCCTAGTTTAATAATGCTGTAATTTTACAAGAAATTAGATTTTTATGGAGAAAAAATTATTTACTGTGTTTTGAGTTTTATATTTTGATAAATGTTCTGTTTCATTGGTCTTAGTTGCTTTATCATCTGTAATATTTTTGCTCTTTTTTGAACATGATAAAATTATCAAAATTAATAAAGCGTGTAATATTCTGAGTAAAAGGGTAAAACTGATTTATTAAACTGCTATGACCAGCTCCCAAAAAAGAGTTAATGGAATTCTACTTTTAATTTAAATATTTCTTTAAAAGATTTTAAAGAACTATGAAGATATTGTCTGAAAATTGAACTAAAAATGTGAAAGGGATATAAAGGAAGAAAGATACAGTTTTGAGAAATCGTTCAAGAGTGGTCTACATATTGTTGCATTACTCTCTTTTTCTGTGAGCATCAGTTGTAAGTTGTTGCTGTGTCTGCCTCTTTCACCAGAGAAAGTGAAGAGAGGGGAGCCAGAACTTCATGCAGGCATTAAAAAATTTGGAACTTGCAAATGATTTCTCAGAAAATTCAAAACTGAAGTTTGCAAATAATTTGGATCTCAACACAAGTGCTCATGGAAAAGATGTGGCTGTCAAATATTTGTTGATATGGCAGAAATCTAGAAATTGAACTATTAAAGTGGGAGAAATGATTTTGCAGTGACTGGCTTAGCTGATGGAAGAAAAATGAAAACATAGTTCAGAAACACCTTAATGATGTAAAAAAGGGGTGCTGATTGATCTGCTGTAGGAATATGATTGTCAAATGTATGATCTAAATTGTATACAAAATACTGCCTTAAAAACATAATACAGATGAAAAGTGTATGCTGCTGTGCATTGATTGCCTCAACATGCATATTTATTTATGAATAAAAGTTCAAAAGAATCTAAAATATTAAAATATCATATGATTGTTTTCATCTTCATCAATATGAGTGGTAAAAAAAGGAAACTTTTAGTAATCAGGAAAGAAAATTCTCAGGTGCTTCAACCATTTTCATGTGAGCTATAGATGCTTTTTTTTTTTATGTTCTGAAGCCATTTAGTCAACTTTTTATTTGTCAAGAAACAGAAAAACAAATCAGTAGGGTCTGTGATTTCCTGCTTTGCATTGAAAAGCAAATTTTAAATCTCCATAATAACCTAAAATTTTTTAGCCTTATTTAATGTAGTGATTATGTGGGATATATAGGTTCCAGCCTGCAGGAAAAACGTTAACAGTATAATTCAAAGGCATGGAAGACATCAATAATGTTTAATGAATGGTAATGAACTAAATGAATGATATTCTTATTATTATTGACAATTGCACAACACTTAACATACATGTCTCTCGTGACATGATTGTTGTATTTGCTATGGTAAAAATCTGAAAATTTAGCTATTTAAATAGGAAAAATTGTTTTGTAGGTTTCTGGTTTAACTGATGAAAGAAAAGAAAAAATCATATTTTTGCCTTTATATAAATATATGCTGGTAACTTCAGAGGGAAGCTATGTATTTCCCAAAACATATCACAGCTGTAATTCAACCATGTGATCAGTGGTTTATTAGAGTAACAAAATGCTGGAATTAAAATTTTGGATTTATTGATAAAAATATCTTTTTTCTTTAACTGCCCTTTCAGTACCATGTTTTTCATTTTGAATGGCAGAAAAATTTTTCCAACTGCTGTTTTTGTATTCTATATTTATCTGATGCTGATATAAATGAGTTTGTTCAAGGTAAATAAACCATCTAGGAGTTAGTCGTGTTTAAAGAGGAATTCTATGTCTAAGAATTTGTGAACAAATTGTTTACACATTAGCTCAAAATTAATTTTGAAAGACAATGGCGTAGACACCAAAATCTTTTATTTTTGGTGAATACTTCCAAAAAGTACGTATTTATCAAAAATTAAAAATTTGCAGAATTTCATAATCTGTGTTTACTGTAAAAGAATGATTGTGAAAGATAAGCAGAAAATGCTAAGTAACTTCGATAATGAAATAAATTTTCTTCTATAGTCAAAATATGTTATAAGTATAGTGCTTTTTTGCTAAAACGTTCATCTGCATCTTAGAAAAAAGTCAGTACTTTTTTTACTTAATCCAAATTAGTCTAGATTGCAGGCAGCTATAGATTATTGGAATTTTACTGCACTAGTGATATGTAATTAGTGCAATGAAAATCACTTTGAGAAATCCAGTATTTTAACTTTTGTTAAAGAATATTCATTAAAGAATGATTTCCTTTATTTCAGATACGAGAAGCTCAGTCGAAACTTGCTAGTCTTCAATCTCAAAGCTCTCAAGGTTCGCAGACTGGTAGTTCTCCAACTAGAAGTAAAAGCCCTCATATTAATCCTACCACAGGTGAACGCACACCCACCTCTAGAGAAGATGTTCCTATTGCAAAAATGGCTGAGAGAGTTAGGCTGAAAAAGATGGAAAGTGGGGATCGACATATTTTGGGCTCTGAAATTTCAAGTTTAGGGGTTAGCCTATTATTTTGTTTTGCAGTTATGCTGCTTATATTATTTTTCTTTTTCATGTTGTTTTGAAAATTTATTTTCATATAAAGTCTGAAATAAAAATATATTTAATTGTTACTTTTAATTTGTTTAATCAGAATATTCATTGGTCTTGAATGCGACTGATTATGAAAGTAACTGTCTGGAAAAGCATACACATAATGCACAAAAATGGATACTTTTTGGATTTTAATTTCTATATTTTAACTGTAATATGTTGTGCTATATGCATTCATTATTGGAATATATATTTCTTAGAAGCTTCTTACTCAATCCTCGCATCTAACTGGCTGCCTGCGAGACTTAATGGTATGATATGTAGTAAAAGTTATACTGAATTTGCAAAATTATTTACAAAAATAGTGTGTACTCTTTTGACATAAAAATAAGTAAGTACATTATTTATGCTCATAGACAGCAATTTTGATTATCCTTCATATTGTTGTGATGTTACTTCATGCTATCAAACAGCAATTTTTTATTGTAATCCAAATTTAGGAATAAGTTAGATAAAAGTTTAAAAGAATCTAAAATATTAAAATATCATATGATTGTTTTCATCTTCATCAATATGAGTGGTAAATAAAGGAAACTTTTAGTAATCAGGGAAGAAAATTCTCAGGTGCTTCAACCATTTTCACGTGAGCTATAGATGCTCATTTTTTATGTTCTGAAGCCATTTAGTCAACTTTTTATTTGTCAAGAAACAGAAAAACAAATCAGTAGGGTCTGTGATTTCCTGCTTTGCATTGAAAAGCAAATTTTAAATCTCCATAGTAACCTAAAATTTTTTAGCCCTATTTAATGTAGTGAATATGTGGGATATATAGGTTCCAGCCTCCAAGAAAAACGCTAACAGTATAATTTAAAGGCATGGAAGACATCAATAATGTTTAATGAATGGTAATGAACTAATGTGATATTCTTGCTAATTATAGAATAATTTAAATCAGTGTGTGTGTGGCTGCAGCATAAATTTTACATTGAGAAATTTGTTCTTGTTGCATATTCATGTAACTAAGAACCGACAAATATACTTTTAGATTGAAAGCTATCCCCTTTCTTTACTTGAAATTTAAAAAATAAAATACATAAATTCATGGTTTACTTTTGAGTTTAAAACAATATTTACAGAGCTGTTTTTTAATTAATTTGAAATAGTATTTTTGAATTCAATGTATAAAATATGAAAAATTAGTAAAAGTCATTTCCTGTATCTTAGTTATAATGGTATTTGAAAAATAGTATTCTTTTTGCCCCCTTCCTATTTTGCACCCACTAGAAACCATGCATGGGTCATTTCTTCTTCGTCACTAGACTTTCTTCCTTTTACCAATATGATTTTTATCAATATGATTGGTCTATTGACATGAGGTGTAATCATCACAGTTTTCATAGTGATAAACATGAATTTTGTTTACCCTTGTTGAGCAGGATCTAAGTCATAGCCAGTCAGAGAAAGTAAAATGTATTTACATATCTTCAGTTCGCTTTTTTCATTGTGATTGGTCAGTTCATATGCTTTCATGATATAAAGTTGAAAAGTTACAAAATTTAAGCAAAATCCTTATGCCAGTTTCCCTGATGATATCTAATTGTTTAGCAGTAACATTCTGCTTATGGAAGCTGTGATGTAAAACCACATAGTGAATGCTCCCTTGGGTACTAAAATCCCTGGTTGAGATTTCTATTTAAAATTCTGAGTTGTACACTGTGTTTATGAATACATTTAGAATCCATGCATTGAAAATTTCTTTTTGGAAAGAATTGCTAAATAATAATGAATAAATGAATGCTTTAACAAAAGCTGTTCTGAATTAAAAAAAAAAAAAATTCTATTGGAGAAGATTATGAATTGCTGTTATTTTTCCTTTCTTTCTTCTATTGGAGCTACTGTTATTTTTCCTTTTGTAAGGCCATTAAAATTTTTGCACTTTGGTATGAAACTGGATTTTGGTGAAAGTGAACAAATGTAATACCTGTATTGCATTGAAATTTTTATTTTTGAAACTATGTTTCACCACTTTCAATGAATGAGTGGCTTCATGTTTAAGCAGATTGCTGTGTCTTGGAGAAGTTAAGAAATTTAATTAATCTGTGAAATTTTAAAGTTCTACTTAAGAAAATTTTCAGAACTTATTTTGGCATTGAGCATCTTCGTGCAAATACAATATTTTTTACTTTCATTTTCTAAGAAAGCCATTATTCTTTCTTTTTTTTTATCTTTACTCCTGAAGCCAAAGTTTAAAGAACAGAGACAGAGTCTTTGGAATCAAGAAAATATGTCTTTGTATTCAGTAATACAGTCAAAAGTCTTTAATCCAGACTCTTCGGGACTTTGGCGATTCCGGATTATAGATCATCAGTTTAAGTCTGGTAAGATGGCATGCAGAAGTTATAAATTAAAAATATGAAACCATAATTTATGAAATAAAGAGCAATTATGATCTAAAGGGTATCAAAATTTACAAAGAAAAAGCTTATATTTATTTGTTTACTATTTTAAACATTTCTTTCAACGCACGCATGCATAAAGCATACATTATGCATAGCCAAAATTAGAAAATTGCAACCAGAAAAATATTTGATGTGTATTCATGATATTTATAATGACGAGGAATTTGATTTAAATCATATCAAAGATGGAGTACATCAAGATGAAATACTACATTTAGTAAGGAATTATAAGCCGAATAAAATAAAAACATCTGCCCTAAAGATAAGGATAATGCTGACAGCTCAACTTCCAGTTCATTGCACGACCCCCCCCTCCCCGCAGAGCAGAATGAAATTGATAAACATATTTCGGAATGGTTAGATAATCAAAGGATATGCCTTTATCCATTTTTTGCAGCTATTCCACTTTTTGTTTGATGGACATCGAAACATGCTTTCGCTTTGTAGATCCTTTGGTAGCTCCAGAATCGGAAATTCTTTTTGACATAATCGAAAGTTCAAGCTTACTTTTATAAAATTGTTCTAACAGTCAGAAAAAAATAATAAGCCGGTTCAATTAGAAGATTAAGGAACAACGCAATCTGCAACATTAACTGAAATAGATAATTACATAATTTTAGCTTAGCTTATACCGTCTCTTATACATTAAACGTGCATGCGTAAATGTATTATGTGCATGTGTAAAAGTATTATGCCCATACATTAATGCATTATGTGTTGACTCATGCGCAGAAAGTTTGTAGCTTTGAGGTCTGGATTATAGATCATTCCAGATTATAGACGTCCGGATTAAAGACTTTTGACTGTATAAGCAAATTGGGAAGGATTATTTTGTAAGGTATGTTTTCAAAATGCACTCTGCAAGGGAAAAAAAAAAGGACAGTTCTATATCTCCCATTCTACTGGGCCGATTGACAAAATTCAAATTGCGTTTTTCATGTCTCGAAAGCGCGACTTAGGATATATATTAGATTTATATACAGCATTGTTCTAACATAGGTATTTTGACACAAAATCAAACTTTTTCTGAAATAACATACCCATTTTTTTCCATATTTCGATTCTACGACTCAAATTATGCCTAGATATTAAATTTTGTAAAATTTGGTGCAAAATTTACAGAGAAATTAAAAAATTTATCTTGGCAAAATTTTTCAGTTTGACAATGAATAATTCACTCGGCGAACTTCTTAATATATGGCAACCAATTTTTCTTTCCCTTCCATTATGCCGGAGCGGAAAAAAAAGGTAGTATTTCTTTTTTTGTCAGTTAAATTAATTTTATTGTATCACATTCATTCATATTGTAAAGGAAACATGTGGTAACTTTAAATAATGTTTATAAAAATCATTGCAAACTTTTTTATATTAATTTATTTGAAAATACTGTATGAATGTCTTGAAAATACAAATTTTAATTAAAACAGAAAATGAAATGATTTATCTCTTCGTTCTTTGATGCATCTAATGTTAATTTAGTACTTATATCTTGATTTTTACCAATATTTCCAGTTATCTACAACGAAAATGGCCGAACATTTGGCACAGAATGTACATGAAGAATCTTATGCTCAGGAAATTTTCCAAACATTGTTTTCTACTGGTTCTCCTGTGCCAGAAAACAAAATTAAGGAGTTTGAAGTAGAAATGGAACGTCTGAATAGTAGAATAGAACACTTAAAGTCTCAAAATGATCTCCTAAATTTAACACTTGATGAAAGCAAAGGACAGTGTGACAGATTAAGTGTTCTTATAGGAAAATATGAATCTAATAATACAGCCCTCCAACTAGCTCTCTCTTACAGTGATCAGGCTATTGAATCTTTTGAAGTTCTTTTGGCCTTATTAGAATCAGAACAGGACCAAATACGTGCCAATTGCAAAGCTGTCGGTCTAGGTAATGGTTTATTGCTTAAAATTTTAAAAATTTCTGAGAAATTTAAGAATGTGATAATTGTTCTTTAAATAACTAGTATTTGTATTGAAAATTTATTATTTCTAATGTGCATTTAGAATTAAATATACCATGCATTCAGAAACAATTAAGGTTTGTAGAGTGAAGTGAAATACTGATCTGGAAAGACTGAAATTTCTGAATATTGGGTTAAAACATTCTATCAGAATACTAACTTGGCTCATTTCTGAACTGACAGTAATAAAATGAATTTAAGGTTAACATGGGTAATAAACTTTAATAGTGACAGTGAATTAAAATAATAAAGTTAACTGTTAGGGAACAAAATTAAAATTTTATCTTAGTAAATTTAAGAATTAATAAATAAATTTATCTTATTAAGATATAATTAATACTTTATTTTAAATCACATCAGATAAAATTTTTCTATTGCATGAGATTGTATAAAGTTATTAAAATTCTAATTTTATGAATATCAGAAATTGAGTTATCATAGTATTATTTTGGTAACAGCTGTAAGTGTCTATTACCCAATTATTCCTTAAAGTTTCTTTGCTGAATACCATAAAAATGACATAGTTGATAATTTTTGGTTAATTATTTAATTAATTTGTAATGTAATTTGTATAATAAAGTTAGTAATATCTGTTAATTGCTTATTAAATGAGAAAAATATTGAATGTAAATACAGCAGAGTTTCAGTAAATTGAACTAAATCTCAAAAAGTTGAATTCATAATTAATATTGGCTTCAACTTTTAACTAAGTTGAATAAGGTGTAAGTTGAACTAATAAGTTGTTAAGTTATAAGTTGAACTTTCAACTAATCAGAATTTTTGTTTTCTTCTTGCACCTTCAGTTTTGGTTTATTGAAGTTTAAGTGTATTTTCTGTTGTGCATTATTTCAAAGCTGTACAATTATTATAGGAACTTATTTCAGGTAATAAGAAAGAAAGATGTTTAAATGGCATTGTGGTCATGATTACTGTTAAATAAACACCTTTAATTTTTTTGAATAATAATGAGGGTAATTATTAATATTGTATGCATCTTTCAAAACGCTTTAACAAGATTTTCCATGAAATATCACAAAGGCATTCATTGAATATTTCCTATTTTAAGTATTCTTTCATTTAAATTATATGATAACTGAAACTGCTTTAGACGTCAAATTTCTTTAATTATCAGGTTTATTTTTTAATGCTTTTAAGAGCATTTCAGTTTGATTCTATGCATCAACTATCTTTAACTGCACGTACTTCATGTGGTTAAAGATAGTTAGCAGTTATGTATATTACTGTTGTCTCAGTCTACACATCAGTAATCCATGTGAATTGTGTAAATGGTCAGGCAATAACACATTGACAACTACAGTGACATCATTAAAATGATAATTTAATGATGCCAACAATGACACCATTAAAATAACAGTTCTGAATTTCAACCGAAAGTAGAGATTGAAATAATTCAATGAATAAGAACACCTGTGTGGAAAAGAAGTGCTGGGTTTGAAATCCAAACTCCAAAACAAAACCAATTTTTTATAGAGTGCATTCTGGATTTAAATAACAGCATATATGTAAGTAACCTGCAACTCTGTACTGCTATTCAAACATTTATAATACAGCCTAAGTAACAGAAAGTGCTTTAATGGAATGAGATTCCAGTAACGAAAATTGCAGTAATACAAAATTTCAGCAGCTAGTAAAGTTAACCAGATGTTGTAAGTGAAGGAAAGCATTGGCTGTATTCATTGACACTTTTTAGCCATTAGCCCAGAAGGGATGTTAATTTCATTTTGCATTGATTCACTATAAATGTTGGTTCACTTTTCAAATTGCTGCCACCAAATATTAGAGCCCTGCATTATATTTAAAAAATTTAATCTGCATACATGTATGTATGTTTTTCACACTGCAAGAAAATAACGGTACCTAGAGACGTCAAATTTTCAGTAAGTTGTCCTCTGCTAGAGTATAGACATCTGGAAGCCTGAGCTTGGAATTTGTTTTATTATCTATTTCATATTTTGTAAAACTCTAATGAATTTTTGATTAAGAAACTCAACAATTTCAAAGTGAGCAATGCCAACACTCTAGGGGGGAAAAAACATTTTTATCTCCAGCGTGCGAGACTGTGTATTGGAAATTCTAAAAATATATTCATTTTAAAATTATTTTTGCGATATTACTATTGAATTGAATTTTATGGTTTAAGTGCAAAGAACATGAAATTTAATAAATAAAGGTAACACACAAAACATTAATCTCCCCCTTTGGGTGTAAATATAAAATCTGAAAGCTTTCAGGTTTTTGTTTTTTTAATTTGTTATAGTTTTTATAGAATTGTATATATTGAATACTCAATGCAGTAGTTTTTCCATATTACTTTTTTTTTGTAAATAAATAGTGTACTTTTTGAATATTAAAAAAAAAAAAAAAAAAAAAAAAAAAAAAAAAAAAAAAAAAAAAAGAGTAATTTTATTTTTTAAATTCATTAACTTTGCAGCTCTTTAAAGTGCACAGAAAGTATACAAACTATTGATGTGCTCATTATTTGTTGTTTTTTGTGAACTCAATTTTTATTTAAGGATAAATAATTATGTGTGCTATAAAATTATGTTTCTCTCTTTAACTATTTGTTTAAAAATGGGCTGTTTCACTAAGAATTTGTTTTTAATTTAAATTTTATTTTTTTCAGTCAAATCTGATAATGAAAATCAAGAAAAAATTATGGAACTTTTGAAAGAGTCACAGGAGAATAGGAAAGCAGCTGAAAATGTTGCAAGGCATTTCTTACAGAAACTTGATAGGAGCTATGGTTTTTCCTCAAGATTTGGAGCATGCAATATTAGTCCTTGGGAAGATTTGTCTTCACATAGTCATACCACAAGGTTCATGGCAATACTTTTTCTCTCTGCATGCCTTAATATCATGAGCACCATATCATTATTGATTTAAAAATTGCTTTTTAATAAATATATTAAAATGAAAATTTGGCCTTTTCTTTATGTTTTCATCCCTTCTTTTCTTTAGTAGTCTTTTTAACAAAAACAGTACTTTAAGAGAAAAGAAACCGGATGTTTTTATATTCTGCATAACAGAACCTTCAATTTTTTTAGGTTATTCAGCTGTTTGCTTATATTATATACATTTAAATGCAAAAGTCAATTAAATGCCCATTAGTTTGAAATTCAAAATAAGATAAATTTTAGCTTTAGGTATTAAACTGATGTCAATCTGAAATTGCCTTCTGCCATGTTTCACAAATCAAGTGTGCTTCATTAATAATTAATTATAGGAATCAAACAATTTGATTATTTATTGACCATCTACACATGGAGAATAATGGAGTTTGCTGTTTGTTTCTGTATAGCTTTTAAATAATTTTCAACATGAAATTTTTGTTTTGCTCAATTTTATAGTTGAAATCAATTAGCTGAAAAACTTTTTTTTTTTTTTTATTAATAAATTAATGTTTAAGCTGAAGTTGCGCTGTATTTTTACTTTAAAATTTTTCATGAATGGTTTTATATTTTTCTTTTTTGATATTGAAATTTCTGTTTTTAAATATGAATATTACCTTCAGATTATTATTTTAAGGGGAAAAGTAATGGTACTTTTGCATTATACCCCCAGCTCTTTCACAAAGTTGCCAGTGGTTGCCAATCTGACATGTGAAAAACAGTAGTCATTTCATTTAAAAAAAATGGTGTCGTATGAGAAATTTCATAAAACAGCAACAAATTAATTAAATTAAAATGCAACAAACATCCATAGTAAATTTTTTTCCCTGGTTTTCTGTTGATCCGCAAAGCAATCTGTTTTAATTTTTAAAAAAAGCATGAGAGAATTACCGAATTCTCAGCAGTGCTTTCCAAGCACATATCAGATTGTTTCAACTTAAAAAAAAAAAAAAAAAAAAAAAAAACGAGAATTGCTCAAAGTAGTTTCATCGGAATGCACATTTTTACATTCTCTACAATTAGGAAAAACACCATATTTCTTAAAAAATGCAACACTAACTTTTTCATGAACATGGCCCTCAAATTTCAAAACCACCATGGGCATTATCACCATTGTCAAGATAAATGACGATATTATGGGCTGGCGTAATGTACACATAACTATTAGTGGTTTGCCAGATAAATGCATTTTCATTTAATTCTGTGTTGGCTGCTTTTTCAATATAACAGTTTGCCCAGTGATTCTTGACTAGGTTGAGAGGATAATCCAGTAGCATTAAAGTAATTTTGATAATTGTTTCATCTTTAATGGCTCAAATATGAGATGATCCTGTCTTTTTGAAGTTGTCTTACTAATTAAAAAAAAAAAAGAAAAAGTAAAGAAAGGGGAAAAAAAAAGAAAGAAAGCTGCTTGTGTTTAGGACAGATATTATGAACGTGGCATGTTGAAAATATTTGTCAAGAAAGAATTGTTTCTTTATTTTAATATTCTAATTAAATATAAATAAGTATGTTTTCTTTTAAAGTAGAAATTAAGGAATAAACAATAAATTAATTTATTTTTAAAAGTGTGTTTTTTTACTTAAGATAGCTACAGTTTTGAGGATAAAATTTGAATGAAAAAAATTCATTTTATTTTTTTAGCTCTATATATTATTATATATGTACTGAACATACAAAAATTGTACATATCTTTATTAACTAATAAAGCCCACATAAATTTATGCTTTATGTACTTTTTGTAAACAAAATTAATAATTTTAATATTGTAAAAACTTATTAGATTGAAGATTTATGTTTATTATATATTTTTAATATTATATTAATATTCATCTAAGAAGAGCCAAAATATTTTTCAATTTCAGTACATCCAGTTCTGTGTCTAGCACAGGTGATACTGAATTCTCTAAAGCTGATGAGCGCAGACTTAGAGAATATATAGTTCAGTTAAAGAATGATAGAGCTGCTGTTCGAACTACAGTTGTTGAACTGGAGAGCATTCATGTTGATCCCATTAACAAAGATCCACCAACCATTATTGATGCTCAAAAGCTGGATCTGGAGAATGCCGTCCTCATGCAAGAATTAATGGCAATGAAAGTAAGAATTCTTGTAATCTGTTTTTCATTAATGTAAGACGTTATTAAAAGCCATTTTTTAGATTTCTTACAGTGAGAAATATTTTCTGCCATTTTACACTGGTGCCATTAATTTTTTGCTATTATACATCTGGATATTAGTGAAATGGTACTTGTTAATACTTTACATTAGATACTTGAAGAAATTAATTTGTTGTTGTATCAATGAGGATGAATGTTAAATAATGTGTACATATATGTATACTTAAAAGAAGTTGTGTATTGTAGTTAATTTAACTTTACGGTAATAACGGACTGTATGTAGTGTCATTTTGTAAATTTTGCTATTGTGAATTAGATGTTTGACATGTAAGTGAGAAAAGCCTTATAGTTTAGTAACCCATACAGAACTGAAGTTTGAACAAAAAGTGTTGTTGTGAATGAACCAAAAGAACCTGAAAGGTTCTTTTTGACTGTCTAAAGAAAGCTATAGCTATTTTGTCAAAGAGAAAAATAAACTTATTTGCATAGATAGAGAGGCAAAATTTGAGCTATTGAAGTGAGTGTATTTACGATGAAGGAAATATTATTTGACAGTTTGTGAAGTGAAAGTGATTTGCAAAGATAATTCCATAGTCTTGGAGAAAATTAGCAACCCAATAAAGCATTGTCACTGTATGGTTTTTATACCAGCTTACAATTTGTTGGGGACCATTGCATTTGTATATCTCCTCCTGAAAGTGTTGGCATCTTTAAATAATTATCTACTGTTCTTAGGACTGAAAGCTCTGTAAGGGTACCATGCATGTAAGTGCCTTTACTTTTATGAAAATCAGTTATTAGCTTGATGAAAATAACCTTCATGAAGGTTTTGGCACCTTTATGGTAAGGCACTGCCATGTAAATAGAGTTTTATATGATTACTTTGAAAACTGATTTTCATAAAGGTGACCTTCATAAGTCTGAAGATATCTTTACATCATGTGAAGGTTTCTGTCTTGGTAGACAGTAGGCTGCTTGCATAGTATGTCAACACTTATGTGCTGGCACATCGATATTGAAACATTCCATTCGTTGCATCATTTACAAAGAATAGCCTCTACAGTAGATATCCAAGTTGCACATCCACAAGCTCTAAATGAGGCACTGATTGAAAGCTGTATGAAAAACATCTAACTGTTGATCTCTGGCAATAATATGTTTACTCTAGATCAGAGTAAATACATATTGACACAGGGAGAACTTAATACTTTTAGGAAAAAATGCAATCAGCCTGCTGTCTGCTGTGCTATTAAAAATAATCTAAATATAAATAAATGTGCTATATTTTTTGAGTTTTTTAAAGGGGGAATTGATATTCCAACAATAGTGGAAGGGGTGCATGGGGCAAAACAGGTTGAAAACCACTGCTCTAGATATAACTTTATACTTATGCAGTCACATGAAATTCTGTATCATTTATAACTTGCCCTGCAAGCATTCTAACTTTCTCGTGCAGATATATGTGAAAGATTTATATATCTATATATGGTTATGGTAACCTTCTGTCAGAGCTGACTGCAGCTGGAAAGAATCAGTAAAAGGATCATAAACAACTTTGCTTAATATTGGAGAGTCAAAGAAGAGATTCTAGTGTTGTAATTAAGGCAAACAAATATAGACTAGACATAGAACAAATTCAAAGTTTTCTTTAACCCAAAATCTGTGAATGTAGTTTTAGAAATACAACTATATTATTTATTGAGAAGCTGCATATGTAGTAAGTGAAGTACAGAATAAAAACAGTTGAATTTTAAGGTTCATTTTCTCAGTGAAATATAACAAACATATTTAATTGCCATTTAATTTTTTTAAAAACATTTCCCCGCAATTTTTTAAAATCAAATAGTATAGAGAGAGCATTATTTCAAGAGTTCATTTAGATGAATACTAAACATAAAATGCTAAATTCTACCTAGGAAGTTAAGAAAAATTCAAATAAATTCATTTTAAAGTATATATTGGCTGTATCGGCAACCATCAATTAGTTGCCATGTTTGACTACTTTTTTCAGCAAAAGATATAGTGCATTGTAACTAATGTCAGATAAAAAATATTTTTAAAATATTTTTTTTTTATTCATTAAGAAGTCTTTTTGGAAGGAATTTAGAATAATTTCAGTTTGCCATCAAATGAAAATGAAGGTATTGGACTTGTTCAAGAAAGGAATATTTTACTTTTACCCAAATTTATGAAAATAGATGCAGTATAAAAAATTACCTACATTGGCAACTAGCTCACTGCATCAAAAATTACATTCCTTACAGTACTAAACTGTTGGCCACCTGAAAAAAAAAAATGACAAAATTTTTTTAAATAGGAGTTTTTATTTTTTGGAATAAGTAAGTTCTTTTCTTTTCCTCTTTTAAAAAAAGGAAACAAAGATTTCCATTAAAATTTCATCATTTAAAGGTACTTTTTTTGGCAGATGCTATATGTCTCCTAAACTTGGTAGTATTTTTCCCTTGGCAGTTTAGTCTCTGGTAAAAGCAACAAGTATCATTTTAAGAGTTTATAAGAACTAAACATGGAATTCATTTAGACTTATCCAAAAAGGCCATAATTTTTAACTTTTTATTAAATAATACTAGTATTTGAAATTATTCTGGGTCCAATTCTTGTCATTTTTTACCACCTATGAGGCCTGATGTGATGGAATAGTTCTTTATCAGTTAATGAAGTTGTGATTAAGATTTAAAATTTTCTCAAATTTTCTGTTCTTTTTTTGCTTGTTTTTGACACCACTGTAACTAATCATTGTGTAATTTTCACTTTAATGTTTAATATTTATTTAAATTAGGATTCAAAAGATCTGAATGGTAAGAAAATTTCAAAGATTCAAGTTTACAGAGAACTCAAATCCTTTTTCAGATTTATGAGATCTAAAAGATTTTAGGATTCGAAAGTCTGTATTATGAATCAATTATGATAGAGCCTTGGACTTTTTACAATAAATAGAGCCAGAAATTATTGTTTCTGCAAATTCCTGTTAAATCTTCTGATGCCATCCAATGGATTTTAGTGCAGTTTGATTACCGAAAAAAACTTTAAGCAACTTCTATGCACGGACAAAATAATTGAAGAATAGTTAAAAAGCATATTAAAAAAATAAAATGTAACATTGTTTTTAAAACTTTTTTTAATATAGTAAATATAGTACTAGTAGGAGCAGTTGTCATATAATGCAGAGTTTGATGATAATATATAAAATTAAAGTCATTCCATAATTTTGTCTTCATGAATTTATATAAATAGAAAAAAAAAATTCCAAAATTAAAAATCAGAAATTCTTTAAGAAAGATGAAATTTTTTTTAATGAAAACTATATAATTAATATTTTTGTAATTTATGCTACATTTGTAATTTATCTCTTGTGAATGATAATTGTTATCATGAATAATCATAATAAATACTACTCTTGGAACTTATTGAATGAACAGATTAATATAAAGCATTTTTGTATAGATGTTTTCTTAACATGGGCCACGAAATTTTATTATTTTAAAATAAAATTCATAGGTGGGAATTCAATTTTGTGATTAGATTTTTACTTTAAAATTATGTTAGTACAGTCAAAAGTCGTTAATCCGGACTCGTCGGGACTTCAGCGATTCCGGATTATCGATTTTCCGGATTTATAGATCATCAGTTTTAAATCTGGTAAGATGGCATGCAGCAAAGAAAATTACAAAATTTAAAAAATATGAAACCGTTTAATTTATGAAATAAAGAACAATTATGATCTAAAGGTATCAAAATTTACAAAAAAGAAAAAGCTTAATATTTATTTGTTTACTTTATTAAACATTTCTTTCAATGTAAGTTGCTTCATTCATGTGATAATACTTCTCTTTAATTCTATTAAACAGATATAATTCTTGTTTGTTTTAGTTACACAAAAGTTCCGCTGTTCAAGTCCTATAATTGCTGTGTTGAGAATACCGACTAATTTGTCAATCGAAAATGTTTTCGTTTCAATAACCTCTGGGTCACTTTCTTCACTATCAGAGCGAATTATAATGACGAGGAAACTTGATTCAAATCATATCAAAGATGGAGTACATCGAGATGAAATACTACACTTAGTAAGGAATTATAAGCCAAATAAAATAAAAACATCTGCCCTGAAGATAAGGATAGTGCTGACAGATCAACTTCCAATCCGCGGCGTGAAATTGATAAACAGATTTTCGATTTCGAAACATACTTTCGCTTTGTAGATACAAATTACATATTAGTAAATATATATTGGAAATTCTATTTGACATAATCGAAAGTTCAAGCTTACTTTTATGAAATTGCTCTAACAGTCTGCCAAAAATAATAAGCCGGATGCAATTCGAAGATTAAGGAACAACGCAATCTGCAACATTATATCGTCTGTTACACATTAAACGCGCATGCGCACAAACATATTACGCTAAAGATCTTACGCGCACTCTTGCTTTATATTAACACAGCCTGTGCGCATGCGTGAACGCGACGCATGTGCAGAAAGTTTGTAGCTTTGAAGTCCGGATTATGAGTGTCCGAATTAATGACTTTTGACTGTAGTAGAATATCTTCCAAACGGAAGGATGGAAAATTTCGTGGCAATATTTTGCCATTAAATTTAATGAAGTTTAAGATTAAATGAAATTTATGATGTGATGCAAAACCTCAGATTCTGATTATGTTTTCTTCTCTATTAATTGCTGTTGTTATACCATTTAGCACCACTGAAATTCTAACTAATTAGATTTAATTTAGAAGTCAAACAACAAAAATCAGTGTTGTATTTTCAAAATTTTCACAGGACTTAACTAGATTAGTTATTTTAATTTCTGTTTCTTAAGTACTTGCATTTAGGCATGTAATGGTATAATAAGTGTTTGAAAATTCAAAATATTATTGCCTCTAAGCATTCTGTATTTTTTAATTCTGGGAATAAATTTTATATTAAACATTAGTAGCATAATTATTTTTTTGAACATAAAATTTTGTTTATTTGTTTACTTGTTTGTTTTGTTATTGTTTGCTTATTTGTTGTAAAATAAATGGTGCTGTCTTTTTTTATTAAATTTTTTTTTATCATTTCCTTAAAGGAAGAAAAAGCTGAATTAAAGGCTCAGGTTTACTTGTTGGAAAAAGAGAAGACATCTCTTGAGTTGCAGTTGAGTAGTCGAGAAGCTCAGGAGCAAGCTTATCTTGTTCAAATTGAACATTTTAAAAGTGAACTCCAAGAGCAAACAGAAATGGTTGAAAAGTTAAAGGTAACAGAAATCTTGTAACATTTTCCCATAACTTGTTTTAATTATCAAAAACTATTTATTTGTCCTGTTGAATTACTACATAACTCCATCTATGAGTTTCACTTAAAGGGAATTTCACATTAGAATAGTGATCATAGTCTGTTTTTCTTATATGTAGAGCTTTTAACCTGAATAGGAATGCAAAATTTTATTTGGGGAAAATATACTGTTATATATATAGAAAAAATATGTAATAATGAAGTTGTGAAAAAGACTTTCAAAATTAAAAAATACCTCTAATACAGTTAAGATTATTAAATCAATGTAATTAAACAAATAAGAGTTAACCTTTTGAAGACGGGATGGCCATTATAGTGGCCATAGAGTCCTCTCTTTGAAAAGACGGGGTTGTCCACTTTAGTGGCCTCTTATCTCCTTCAAAGGTCTTCCTTTTGCGACATAGATGCACCCCTTTAAGAATCCATTAAACTACACACAAGAATCTTTGTTGCAAACAGGAGGTGATTTCTTAAAGGGGGGGAAGCATTCGGTTCAAGATTCCCCGTCCTTTGGTAGCTTTTACTGCTACCAAAGCCTCAGCCTCAAAAGGTTAATAATATCTAGGATGTCTTTGTAAAAAAAACAAGGTAAATAAAGAATGTACTAAAATTTAACACAATGTAATACATTGGACGCTCATCAATTTGAATTTGGTTAATTCGAACTAATCCAAAACCCCAAAAACTTGTACTGGAAGAATTAATGTTAAAAATGTCTCATTAATTCGAACTAAATTTTTATCATTTGGTTCATACGAACTAAAAAAATGACCCCCCTAAAAAAAAAAAAAAAAAAAAAAAAAAAAAAAAAAAAAAAAAAAAAAAAAAAAAAAAAAAAAAAAAAAACTTTTTCCCTTGTTTAATGGAGAAAATGTATGCTGTATTTTATTATTTTGTGTGTCAAAATCATCTGCATTTCTTTTCTATATACATGCCTGCATTACTAGACTATTGCATTTCGGCTAAATGTTAGTGATATTGTCCTACTTTCCTATTGTTCTACTTATCAGTTCTTAATGGACTATGCTGCCTGGCCTAAGCTGTTTCCTTGAATTCTCTCAGAACCCTTTATGAATAGTTTGGGTTAGGAAAGAAACTTTTGTTTATTTGGTATAAATTTTCTTAGAATTTCTGAAAAACCAGGCTTTGCTGCAGATTCTAGAGAGCTGCGTCTGTTATGCCTGCAGTGCAGACATGTTAATGTGACCTAGTTTTTCTTCCCCAGTGTGTGGTGTGAATATATAAAATTCAGGATATCTACATATGGAAAGTACAAAACTCCAACTTTGGAGACAAAGGTAACGATTTTAAAGAAGTAGAGAATGGTGAATGTAAAACAAAGTTAGGAGCTGACTATGGAATTAAAAAAAATACCTTGTCAACTTATTTGAAAAACAGAGAATCAATTTTAGATTCATGGGAAAATTCTAAATTTACAGAAAGAAAGAAATGCATGAGAAATGTGTCGCGAGAAGATCTAGAAGAAGCTGTACTGCTATGGGTCCAGGGGGTTAGATTTCAAAATTTTCCAAAAAATGGGCCCCTATTGCAGACTGGCAAATTTAATGGGTAAAGATTTTAAATGCCGTGATAAATGGCTTTCAAGGCTCAGTATTTCTTATCAAACTGTTATGTGGCCAAAGTTCTGATATAATGCAGGATATGTGCACTAATTTGAGTACAAAACTTCCAAAGCTTTCTATGCTTACCTGCTGAAAGATATTTTTAATGCAGATGAAAGTGCAATTTTTTTATAAACTCTTGCCAAACAAGACATTGCATTTTAAAGAGAATGTTTGCATAGGAGGTAAAAGCAGTAAACAGAGGATTACAGCTTTAGTTTGTGCTAATATGGATGGAAGCGAAAAGCTTAAATTATTGGTGATTGGAAAGTCCAAGAAACCACTATGTTAAAGGAATTCAAACATTGCCAGTAGATTATGTATGCAACACAAAAATATGGATGACACAAGACATCTTCAGTAACTGGTTAGAAGGAAGAGATAAGCAGCTTTTGAGGGAAAAGCATAAAATTCTCTTATCTATAGATAGCACTACCTGTCACAATAACCTTCTAAAACTTAGTTTTACACAGATTGAATATTTGCAGCCAAATACACCACTGCAAAGCTACAACTAATGGATCAAGGAATTATCTAGAATCTTAAAAAAATTATCTTAAGAGATTTTTTGCAACAAATCATTTTTTTAGATTGTGGTGAAAACTACAACAGTATAAATGTTCTATATGCCACATAGGATGCTGTTAAAGAAAGCACAATTAGTAACTGCTTTTGTCATGCATGCTGAAGAGAACAATCATATTGAAGAATGTGACAATATTGATACAGCTTTTTTTTTAATTCAAAAAATTTAAATATGATAACATCTTTTTTTCTGATTATATAAAGGTAGTTGAAGACTTAGAAAACTGAGTGACGATGACATAATAAAAACTATCTAAGAAAATGAAAAAGAAGTTATCTTATCGGATAAAGAAGATAATGCAGAGACTGTTAAGCATTCTAATGATCAAGCCATAATAAAATGTATAAAAACTGTAAAAGCATTTATTTAGATTGAGCATTCCTGTGAAAATGAATTGAAATGTTTACTTCAAATCGAGAAGGTGGTTGAAAAATGTAGGCATAATAAACAAAACCAAATTCCATTTTACAGTTTTTCCCAAAAGTGTAATTCATATTATCAAGTTTACTTTCTACTTCATATCCGGTGCTTCATTTTATGATTAAGGTAAGTCTTTACTGCTTTTGAATGTTTAATTTTAGATAACGTAGTATAATATATTTTTTGAGTACATATTAGGAGATTTTTCTTCTTCAGTGAAGCATTTTTAAAGTTATATTTTTCTTAGTATCACATAGTTCGAATTATTTTCTGAGAATCTCTGAATTCGAATTAACAAGCATCCTCTGTACTATGAGAAATGGAGAAAAGAAATCGCTCAAAGCCTGAGGCTAAAAATTTCCCATAATTGATGTTCTAAAAAGAATCAAAGAAAAAATAATTAATGATATAGCTAATTGAACGAATTCAGATAAGATACTGATCAGGGGAAATTTATCTGAAATTCTTCCATCAGCTAACATCAGTAAGTCCTATAAAAAGCATTTCTGCCCTTCTCGATATCTTATAGTGACTTCTTATGTTTTTAATAATTTTGTGCTTTCAAAAATTAAGAATAAAACACCCCTGCACTTTTTAGAAAACTTTATGAATGTAAGTACCATTGTCAGAAAAATGATTGTAACTATTTCCGATATAAAAGTTATAAGTTGTGCATGTGGTTTCACAAAAATTCACAGTAGGAGAAAGAAAAAAATTAAAGCATTTTGTGAAATTACAAAAGCATCCTGGAAAGTATTAATTTATTTGTTTAATTATATCTATATCTATATCTATATACTATAAGATAAAAAATATGTAAAAATTATAATTTAAACTAATGGTATGCTTTAGTTCTCTCTCTCTCTGTTCTAAAAATCGTAATAACATCTCTGGATTGCGTCATTTCTAGATCATTCCATTTTGCATGGCCTGTGCAATGCTGATGACGTAACTCTGAGAATTTAAAGGTTATATATAGCTTTTGCGCAATCCACTCATGCAAAGAATTGATATTCTGGACAGTTAGTATTCTTTGTTGCTCTGGCAGTCAGTGCTCTGGCCCTAAATCAGTAAAGGACGAAGGTGTTTCGTCCTTTACTGATTTAGGGCTTCGATTAAAATTTTGTCATTTAATTTTAAGCTAGATGCAAAATGTTATTTTTGTCTTAAGTGCTTGTCAATATCTTAAATTTTGAATAGGTGACAGTCACAAAATCATTGAACATAATATTTTTGGAACTTGAAAAATAAGTTAATTTGTCTTTAAGAACTACCCAATTATCAATATCAACACATTTTATGATATAAAAACCAAGGCTTCATCCCTTAAAAATTCTTGGAATAACAAGAGTTTGTCCTTGTCAGTAACATATTTGTTTTCACATTTTTTTCAAAAAATGAAAAATGCTTATCAATTAGAAAATCAGAATCCTGACTATTAAAAATTGGAAAGTTAAATTTCTGTACATTTTTGAAGCAGTTTCGGGTTTGCTCCAAGCATTAATTTCAATCCTGTCCTAGCAAAAGAAGATGCTAATATATTCGCATTAGAGCCGGATAAAGATATGCAGTTCGATGACCACCAAAGCACTGGAATGATTTCAAACCTTGGCACTGAAAGCACTCTTCATTTTACTATAAACAAATGCTGGACTAATTTTGAACTGCTGGCACCAGATTGCATTTTTAAACACTTGCAGCACATCTGTGATTGGATTTTTTTCCCACATTTTCATATTGCTGTTGAATTATGTTGCACTTATTAAACACCACATATTCTGAATTAAATTTTGAACAATGGATTTTGAACTTACAACATTTAAAACTTGTAACACATTTGTTTTGGCAAGATTTGGTGTAGTTGAGTTGCTGATTCCATGTTGCGCACATAGAATGATGGAGCCTAGATATCTCGGAGGTTAGCATATAAAGGCATTAACTAGTAATTCTGTTCGACAAACGTAGCCACAATTTCTATGATAACACATCTACGGAGCACAGGCCAAGATTCTGTCGACTCAAAAGGCTTTTCTGTCGCCAAGCCTTTTTCTCTTTGAAGGGGGGAGGAATATGTAAATCAAAATTATAATTTAAACTAATGGTAACCCTTTAATTCTCTGTTTCTGTTCTGAAAATTATAATAATTTTGCTGGATTGCATCATTTCTAGATCATTCCATCTTGCATGGCCTGCACAGTGCTGATGACATAACTGTGAGAACTGAAACCTTTCTAATGTAAACCAAAACCAACCTTTCAGTTAACAGATTTACATATTGAATATGTGGTGCACCACACAGAGATGAGAAAATCTTGTGTGCAGTCCTCGCAAGTCACTTCCAATCTTTTATTATGTGTCACACGATATGTCTCTGACATCGTAAATGCAATAGTTTGTTCCAGTTGACAGGACAAGAGATATAACTTCACGACTAGTGTCAGGAGATTTTAGCGTTCTGTACCGTGTCTGTCATCAAAACCTCTGGAATTCAGGAGGGCAAACAAACCAATGATTTTGTTTTTCCTCTGATATTATTCGAGATGTAATGAATCAGAGGATGTAAAATAGAACAGAAAAATTAAGGAGGCATGGCAAAATCAGTCTAAAGATTTTTTCCATCAGAACAAGACCTGAGAAGGCTCCTGAACTCGAAACTAGAGAGACCTAGAATGCTCTTGAGCTCTCGACTACAGAGACCCTTCTCAGTAGGCTTCTCACACTACGAGGAGTGTAATTCACTTGAATAAATGTTCTATACGATTCATGAATTATATATGCTTCTAAAGAGCTTCTCATAATTGTAATAAATATGTTTTGAGTTCAATAATGCAGTAAGTATTAAGAAACCTCACAAATGTACCCAATAATCATAAGGAGTCAGATGCACTACTACTGCCACTCAACACAGTGGTAACACACCAGTCATAACCCCAGATAAATGCACAGTTAGTTTGCAGTTTTGTTGCCGGTTGGACGCTATTTCATTTTGTTTGTGCTTTGTCGCACTGCTAACTACACCATTATTTAAAATGTAATACTCTATTTAAAATTGTCATGTGAGTAATGTGCTCATGATCATAAGTAATGAAAAATATGGTTTCGATAATTAGATTCGTGTCTGGCAAAAGATTATGCTCAATTCTGCTACGCCTCTCTGTCCCTCCTTCGAGTGTCATCTTTCTAGTTATGCAGCAGTCTCTCCAAGTTATTATGATATATATATAAATATATATACATGAAATATTGTATGATCTTAAATTCACTTAGTGTAAAATTGAGTTATTCTATTACTTGCGCAGTTGCTGCAAAGTAAGTTAATAATAATTTATTTACTAAAGAACTATTGATTATATATTATCTCCTAAGATGAATCTTAGTAGAATTATCTTAAAAGAGTGAATCCATAGTTAGTAAGTTCAATTCCGAAAATTGCTTTAAAGTAACTTGAATGTAAATTGTTAAAAATGTTTAACGGGGACTTGAATTAAATCATGAATAACAAAATTTCAATTGTAAAAAGAAATAAATCAAAAGCAAGTAATTAAATTAAAAGCAAGTAATCATTGCCATTGATCAGAAATTAGTTGACTTTTAAAAGGGAAGAAACCAACTCCCGTTCAATGAACAATAATTAAGAAATAAATACGAAGGTGTTTCGTCCTTCACTCAAGTAATAAGGTGATGCCAAACTGGCAATTCAAGCTAGGCCAAATATTTCCGTGAATAGAAGGGATCAAGAACCAATGAGAGCACCAAAGAACTCAGAAATTGCTTTTCACTCAAAATTGAATTAGCGAAAATGCTTAATCGGAATGAGTTCTTTGGTGCTCTGCATTGGTTCTTGATCCCTTCTATTCACGGAAATATTTGGCCTAGCTTGAATAGACGGTTTGGCATCACCTTATTACTTGAGTAAAGGACGAAACACCTTCATATTTATTTCTTAATTATTGTTCATTGAACGGGAGTTGGTTTGTTCCCCTTGAAAAGTCAACTAATTTCTGATCAATGGCAATGATTACTTGATTTTAATTTAATTACTTTTATTTCTTTTTACAATTGAAATTTTGTTATTCATGATTTAATTCAAGTTCTTGTTAAACATTTTTAACAATTTGCATTCAAGTTACTTTAAAACAATTTTCAGAATTGAATTTACTAACTATGTATTCACTCTTTTAAGATAATTCTACTAAAATTCATCTTAGGGATAATATAATCAATATTTCTTTAGTAAATAAATTATATATACATGTAATATATTCAGGAGCAGGAGGAGAAATTTTGATGCGTAGAAGTGTTGATCCATAATAAATAGGAAATTGGAGACGAAGGCAGATTTAAATCTTAATTTTTTATTTTAGCAAACATATTGTGGTGACAATCGAGTTGACACATTAATTGTGCCTATTCCAAGAGATTTTACATTTTAGATAAATTTGCAATAAAGAAAAAAAAAAAAAAAAAAAGGCCAAAGCATGGAAAGCAAATGCATAATATTCAGGATGAAATCTTAAGCCAAACTGAGTTAGTTTTGGTTCTCAAAGCATTCTGAATGGACAATTAATATTGCTCCAAATTACTATTGGCTGGTTGAGTTTTAGTTCCATTTACATCATCATAATTACGTAAGAATCATATGACATAGAATAATCTTGAAATGACGCAGTGTAGAGAGGGGGTTATTATTTTTAGAATTGAGAAGGGAAATTTATGTTGCATATTTAATCTTTTACATATTATTTTTCTTACATACATACATATATATATATTCTAAATATATAGAAGGAACTAACATTTAAATATATAAATATGTGAATTAATAAATATTACATAAAATTTATATTTACCGTATATTTTGAATGCGATTTTATTTTATCATATTATGTTTTAGTGCACCAACCAGAATCAAAAGACTGATAATAGTGAAAGTGAGAAATTAAGTGAAGCAGCAGAAAAAATTAGCAAATTAAAAGCTAGAATTCAGGAACTAGTCGTGACTATGGAAAATGTAACAAAAAACTCTGAGATGAGAGCGCAGCAGTCAGTTGAATTTGTTAATGATTTGAAACGTACGAACAGGTATGGTTTATGATTGAACATTTTAAACTTTTAATACTGAAAAGTTAAAGTATAACTAGAAATGATTTAACAAATGTTTAATTTAATAGTATATTTTCATTTTAAGGATTATAATTGTTTTACTTAATTTCTCTCATTGCATGCTTAATTCTGTAAGATTATTAATATATTTTTACTAAATGCACCTTTTAAGTAGGTCTGTTTTTCTCTCTCGAAAGAAATACTTATCGTCTTTTTCTGAAAATAAGACATCCTCCGAAAATAAGCCCTATCATGATTTTCGGAACTTTTTGTAAAATAAGACATCCTCCGAAAATAAGCCCTATCGTTATTTTCGGAACATTTTGTAAAATAAGACGTCCCCCGAAAATAAAACCTAGTTAAAATAATGTGGCAAAAAGAATTCGGTAAAAAATGCTGTTGATTTATTAAGTATAAGTAATTATATGTTTAGCTTTCCTAATACTCGTATTTCAGAGAAATGTTTGAAACAAAATATTACGAGAAATTAATTGTTTACCTCTACAGTTTGTTTCAAATTAATTCTTGGAATTTATCTTCTAGATGGCAAGAAAGTGTTGCCATTTTTAATCACTAAAGTTAAAAAAGACAGATTCAGCGTGTTCCAGGAATTTATGTCATTGCAAGTAAAAATGCCTGGTGCACTCAAGCAGTTATAAGAAAGTGGGTTGATTTTATGCTGCCACCTGTTGAGGGATCAGAATAGAGGTTTACTAGTTTGGGATTTAGCCAGTACTCACCGCGCTAAAGACATGAAAAACTTTCTTGCTGAGAGGAAGATTGATCAAATAATGATTCTGGCAGGAATGACTGGTTACCTCCAGACACTTGACATTGCAATAAACAAGCCATTCAAGGATCATTTGCGGATGGAAATCAATGAATATATTGGAAACAGAATGGTGAGAAATCATCAAGGTAAAACCAGGCTTACAAGAAGTTGTAAATTGGGTAAAAAATTCATCGGACAAAATAACTGATAGTGATGTTTCCAATGCACTACGAACAGGCTACTTAGACAAGAAGTATTCATTTAACAATAGCTATATCACAAGAGATGAATTTGGACCAATGATTCAACAGGAAATGGATTTGGAAGAAAATCAGAATATAATTCAGAATTTTATTTATAACGATGTTCCAGAAGAAGATGACATGACTGTAATTGAATAAATTTAAATTTCTGTATTCTGTGTAAAATAATAATATAATAAAAAAATATATAAATATACTTTTATTTTTGCCCTCCCCTGAAAATAAGCCCTAGCACGTATTTTGGACCAAAAAAGAAAGTAAGACATTGTCTTATTTTCAGAAAAATTTAGTGGATTTATTGATTTGCGTGAATTGCATATAATATTCAGTGTTTGCTTAAAGTACTGTTTTATTTGCCTGTTTGCTTCATAAGAAATTAAATAAGTTCAATTTAAATGCAGTATATGTAAATGTTATAGAGTATTACTTAACATGTGCATTTCTGCCAACTGTTTGATTCTAAGGCTAATCAGAAGTTTACTTGCAGTGCACATCATTAACAAAAAGTTGATCATCAAAAACATTATTTCATTACATTTTCATTTAAAAGTATGATATTTTTTATGTTATACTAATGTCTCATATAGTGTTATGAAATGTGCTATATTAGATTTAATTTATAAAAAGTTGCCTTGAAATTTATAACTGTAATCTTTACATCATACTTAGAAGCTGAGATAAGAGTTTTATTGGATTAAATATTTACATATTACCTTTTATGTTTTTTATTTATTAAAATAAAAGATTTTTCACATTCTTGTATTCACCCTTCAAGCAGCATGACTCACTTTTATTCAGTCATGAAATTTTTATCATTTGATAAATACATGTTGCCTTGTTATTTAAGGTATTTTGTTTTAATACTATCATTATAATGATTTAAATGATTACTATTATTATAATGATTTAAATGATTACTATTATTATAATGATTTAAATATGATCGTAATGAGTGGGTGAAAATTTGTATATAATTCTAGCTAATAAATGCTGTTTAAATATAATAATATTTCATGAGCAGATTCAAAAAGTTGTTCTAGATCAAAAGGTTAATAAATGATATTGTATGATTCATGTATACATTTTCTTTTTTAACTTTATCTTCTCCTACAAAAACATGAGAAATGGAATATCATAATTTTATGGGAAGCACCTTATTGTTTGTTCTGATTCAGGTTTCCTCTAATTCTGTATTTTATGGGGATATTTTTCATGTTCTTAAAATTTTATGAAATTTCATCATGAATGTAATGGATTTAATTACTGTAATAAGTGAAAATGTGTTAAATTTCAAGAAATTTGTAGATTCAGATTTGAGAGGGGACATGTCTGCAATATTTTTAAACTGAAGTACTTCATGAAATCTTTTAATTATTTTAAATATACAACTTTACAGTGTATCATGGATTTTATTTAGAATCCGAACTTTTAAAACAAATTAATTATGCATATTCGTATTTGTGTTCTTTTCCAGAGATTGTGCATGCTCTGCAGCATCGGTTGGTGAAATATTTTACAGGGGCAAAACTTCTTCCCCTTCCTCCTCCTTTCCTCCCACAACATGTTTGATTGGACAAATTGGTATTACTACATAGGGTAGCTTTATAGCATGCAGGTGAAAGAAAGTGTTGTTAACCACTAAATTGACAGCAATTTATTATTATTCCCTAGGTAACATAAAAGAGAAATTTTATGCTTTGAGGCTTATACTAGGTTCTCCATTTAGTTAACATTTGCTTAGTTCTGAGTTTCTTTCAAAGTTTCAGATGATAATGTGTTAAATACTAAAATTAAGAGTGGAGTATATTTCTAGAAATTTGAAGCATGCCTAAAAATGAAATAGAGGTACTTTGAAAAGATGTAATCAACAGATGTTTAGCTCTTTTTGGTATTTCTTTGAAAAAGCAAATTGCTTTAGAATGCATGTGCTTGAAAGTATTAAAACATGGCAGATTTTTCAAACTACATGATGAAAGAAAATTAGCTTGTTTAATGATTTATGATATTGAAGAAAATTATTGTTTTGACCTGATGAGTTTTTTGTGCAAGAAGAAATGCATAGAATAAGGATGGATTTAGCAGTTTCAGTGTGTTATTATTATCTATTTTAAAGATGTAAAGATCTAAGATGTAAAAATTCTTGTTATAATTAGAGTTTGAATTCAGTCAAACCTCAGTTCTGGTACATGTCATGGCCGACCAGCAAAGTTACTGAGGCCTGGCTGTTCCAGGCGAACAGGCTGATTGTAAGGGTGTTTTTATAGTCTTTCCCATGTGTAACATGGATATTATCCAGTTTCCCCTAGAAAGTCCTCTACGGAAGGTAGCTCTAGATTGCTTTCCCATAACCAAATAAACCATACCAAAGTGGTACATTTCATAATTCCAGCCAGAGTGCAATGAAACTCTAGCAAGATGAACTTTGGTATCTTGTTGTATTATATTATTATATTAAACTTTTCTGTTAATACTGCAATTAGATTGCAATATTAAAAAAAGTTTTATTATTAATATAACATTTTATTTAGTATTTAGTAAAATTGACATAGGTACAAAATCATTGATTCCCAAAGTGGTTCCTACAAACCCCCAGGTATCTTTAGGACTGCTGAGTTATTCTGTGGCAAATTAAAATTAATTTGGGGATGCGTTAATAATGTTGGAAGTCTGCAATTGGTTTGATATAAAATAAAATAATTGTGACTCATTCTCATTAATATGAATGGTAAAATAAATTGCAATAAATAAAATCAAAGCTATTTATAAGTCCTGAGTGAAACAAAAGAAAATTGTGTCCTTTAATTACAAATAACATTATGAGTGAGATGAAGAAGACATGCAGACAATATAATGTCGAATATTTAAAATATGGCTTTATTCTGTTACCAGGATAAAGTACTTTACCAATGTACCTTCTATTCACTTAAATTTGGTCAAACGAATTAGTGAAGCTGAAGGACCATTTGACAAATTTCACAATGACAAAAAAGATAAAGATTTAACTTTTTTTTAAAAACAGTCAAATCTGGAAACACCATTATTGTGACAACATTTGAGTGAAATGGCCAATGGACTGCATGCTTCTAGTAAATTATCTTTGCTGATTTCAGAATTTGGAAACTACGCACCAATGGTGAAGAATTTATTCTATGAGCTATAAGTGAGGTAATGTGCACTGTACTGCGTTAATCAGCTTTTATTATTATAAGGCCATAAACGTACACCCATTTGTTTTGAACACACAACTGTTTCAGACAATTTTTCTAGCTGCTTTATATGTGAAAGAAAGACACATGATTTTTTTCCTTCTTTCCCAAAAAATAAAATTTACAAATGGCTGAGCGGTAAAACCACTAAACATTAGTAATTGGGTCTAGGATTAAAATCCCAGCAAAGAGGCTGGCTGCATGACTGTTTTTGTGTTTTTTCCCATGTGTAATTTGTATGTGAGCCAATTTCCTTTACAAAGTCCTCCAAAAAGGTATTGCTCCTCTTAGGCACATAGGCTTTGAGTATTTTGCAATAATTAAATAAACCAAAAACCCGAAATGTGTAAGTTGTTCATTTTCATCAGACAGTAAGCTTTCAGCATCAAATCCCCCATCATCAACCATCACATGTAAAGGAGAACTAGTTTCTCCTTTGCATGGTAATCTCAGAGTGATCAGTGGTGATTATCTGTTTTGTATCATGTAAAAAAGCAGGAAGATTGTACTAAACAATTGTTCTACCAAAATGATGTTTTGAATGCGTGATATGATCTTAAAAAAAATTCCACTGTATAATAACATAATACCAAGAAGAATTGAAAGAATGGCTCAGTGCATAGTAAATTCTTTATGTGAGTTCTTAGAAACATCTAAATTCTCTATTTAGATTTATGTGTCAACTTTGCCAGGAAATGAAGCTTTCATTATGTGAGATTTGTAAACGAAAAATGAATTCCCCAAGAATTTTTATTTGTCAGATGTTTGGAAAGAGATACTGATGGTGAAACAATGCTTAATGAATTAAAAAGATTTTGGTATGTAAAAACTATACTATTGAAAATATCCTCCCATTTGCCATTCATTGTGCTTTGGCAATGAGAGGATGACTCAGAGGCTTTCTAGCATACTTAAAACAAGCTATACTGAATATATTTATTTGTATATTGTGTCATTCATTGACCATTATTTAGCTGCCAAAAGTTAAAATGAATGCTTGTCTGACTCACTAGATTATGTCATTAGAGCAATTAATAAAATCCCAAGGAATGCCTTAAATTGGGAGATTAATTATTCAGTTTTATTTGGAAAATAATGAAGATTATTATCATTTATTACTTAACGCAGAAATTCGTTGGTTATCAAAGTGCTTTGCTAAGTAGATTTATTTTGCCATTCATTGGCAAAATAAATCTACTTAGCAAAGCACTTTCAATCAAGAGTGCATAAAATAAATCTACTTAGCTTTGGAATTTATAAAAGAGAAATTTGCCCCTCAATTTAATTAACTCAAAAAATGACTTAGCTTATATGACTAACATATTTGCCAAGTGAAACCCGTTAAAATCTGTAAGTGAATCAATTAAATTTAATCAAAACTAAAAGCATAATATCTGCATTTTTTGCAAAACTTTTTCTGTACAGACAAAACTTGGTGAGAGGTGAATGCTCTGTTTCCCAATTTTTCAAAATTGCAAAAACATGAAGATTTGCTAAATCCACAAACTTAGATAAATCTGTACACAAATAGGTGCAGTTTGTTGAATTATACATAAGTGAGGGGCTGAAACCAATGTTTGAACAAGGGTACAACAAATTCTGGTTACAAAAACAGATATGAATTTTATGTCCTGTATTATGGACCACTGTAACAAAGCTGTTGATTACTTTCCTGTAACTTTCTGTCTAGTAGAACGTGGATTTAGTGTAGTTGTGAGCCTTATTACGAGGGGACTGATTGGAGATTAGTGCTCATGAAGACGTATGAATGTTACTCACAAGCATAGAGCAGAATGTAAATAATCTCATATCATCCCATCATGTTCAGCTATCTCACTGGGGAAAAAAAAGAAAAAAAAAAAAAATGTTTTTTGTGTTTTAAAACGAAAGTTATAATTTCAATAAATACTATTTTAAATATCAAAATGTTTTTCATATATTTTAAGTCACCATTTACCATTCAAGATATAAAAGTTAAATTTGTAATTTTTCTATTATGTGGTTAACTAGAGTTATTTCACAATCCTCCATGTTAAAATGTGATTCTGTGACAAAAAGAAATTTTTATGGGCTGTATTCATCTGCTCAAAATGGCTTCAAACAGATAAAGTTTTTTTTTTTTTTTTTTTTTTTTTTTTTAAATTTTTTTTAAATTTTTTTTATTGAATGGCAAAGCATGCAAGGGCTATGTCCCTAAGGAGAAGAATGCTTTTGTGGAGAATTTTATTACAGAAGCTGGCTCACATTCACATTACACATGAAAGCCAACCATGCAGCCAACCTGTTGACTTGAGAATGAATTCAGTTCGAACTCTCAGTATTTAGCTTCTGTAACTACTCAGCCACTAGTGGGTCCCTCAGATGGATTAGAAGCAAATATAAAAATAAAATTTAACCTGAATGCAAAGAATATTAACAAAATATTTAGTAGTATCAGCCATGGTCAATATTTGGGAGGATGACTTTTTTTTTTAATCTTCCAAGTCATGTTTTGTTTGTATTAATTTGCTCACCTTTCATTTACTAACATAAGAGTGAAAGACTGATTCACTAATTTTGCCAATATCAGCATCAGCTCTACTTTTTCCCAACTTTTGTGAACTCTATAAGAAGAATCTGTGGATGAAGAACTGTTTCTATATAATGTTCATGCATAAACTAAACAGAATTGAATTATGACTCAGAAATGATAAATTTTTTGTAAAATGTAACTAAAACATTTCAAATGAAGACTATAAACCAATTAATTTTTAATTTGCATAAGATACATTTCATTATTGTACATGTTGTGGAATATTTAGTAATATTAATATGCAAAGCCAATCTAGTATTATAATATATACTGCATATAATGCTAACTTCCATTCATTAATATAATTCTAAAAAATATAATGTGAAGCTGCATGTTTTTATGAAAATTCAGAATTGCCCCTGCATAAAAGGTTATCTTTAATATGTAATCAAAATAATATAGTATTTTCTAATATTCTTTATTCTTTATTTTATCATACATATTTAGTGCCTTGGTTATAGCCTTTGAAAAGGCAAAGAAGAAACAACAGACAAAAGTAAAAAAGTTGGAGTTACAAATGAGTTCAATGACAGAAAGGCATAATGCTCAGGTAATGAGAAAATTTATTGTAGTTATTTTGAATACTTGTGTGTGTTTTCATTCAATAGACTGTAAAATATTTAAGCTAGTTTACAGATATTCTAAATTTGAATATTTTATTCCTTTAAAAGAAATCTTTGTTATGTATTAATGAAGATGCCATATAGTGTTCATCATTAAAAATTATTGTGTATTTTATACTAACTAATTTATAACCTTTGTTGTACTGTAAATGATATATTCAAAAATTGATTTTTATGTAATTTTCCTGACATTGATTTGTTCTGAATGACATACATGTATTATCTAAACCATGAAGTATTCTTTTTCCATATTTAATTAATTTTGATGTTAAGATTCTCAGATTGGTAACCATGTGAAACATTTAGATTATAAATAAGAATCTCAGATTTTGGGTGCCCTTTGAAACAGATCAGAAGGTACTTTCCTTTTTTTTTTTTTTTTTTGTTTTTTTTTGTTTTGTGATAATCGAGATATTGAAATGCCCAAAGAAGAGTGACCAGGTGTGTGATGTTGTCCTTGACTCATCGATTGTTTGATCGGATTGGTTCCATATGTCCAGTAATACTATGTCGAAAGTGTAGCTTCAAGAAAGCTGGCATTTAAAATAAATTGGGATTCTGAAGTGTCAAGTGACATAAAAGAAAAATGTCTGAAATAGGTTGAAGATTTGCAAAAAAGTGACATTATTAAAATATCACACAAAGCATTTTAGAAAGAGATCTGCCTTTTACAGTTACATATGTTTTGTGGTGCCAGTGGTAAACCTCATGCGGTTGCTGTTTTCTTATGGGGCCAGGCTGATAACATAACTATTGTACAACTGTTGATGGCCAAATCTAGAACTGCTGCAATGAAAAAAATTTGATTCTAAGGCTTGAACTGCTAGTCTCTTTCATAGGGGCTCAGCTTGCTGAATTTGTAAAGAAGAGTTAAAATTTTTAAAGCTCTGCCGCTTACTTTTGGACAGATTCCACACTGCGCTTTATTGGATTAAAACTGACGAATCAGAGGGAATATTTTTCAAGAATTGAGCAAAGAAGATAAAAATAAAACTGACGAATCAGAGGGAATATTTTTCAAGAATTGAGCAAAGAAGATAAAAAAGTTATTGCATATTGAAAACTCGGAGCTTATTCCTGGGAAATTTAATCCTGTAGATCTTTTCTCTTGAGGATGCTCTGTGCAGAAGCTTCTAGTCTCTACATAGTGGGAAGGGTCATCCTGGTTAAAATATGGAAAGGAAACATGGCCTTAGGCCAAACATTTAACTAACAAAGAAACATTTTAAGACAAAAACCTAAGAAAACTGCCAGTCTTATATCTAAGGGTATGAAAATTATCTTTTCTCCTATATTTCTAGCTACATGAAGAGTGTCCAAATGATTCATTGAGTATACTGATTTATTAATAATGCTAAAAAACGGGAAGAAATTTGAGAAAAGGTAAAACTAACTCTATTTGAGGTAAAAAATGCAGAGAAAATAATTATAAAAGTTGTAGAGACATTAGGTATTTTTTGGAAGGAGGCAAGATGAAAATGAACAATCGCCTTCACTGGGTATCGAACCACAGACTTCTGGAATACCGGCCCAGCGTGCAGAACCGCTACACCACAAAGGCATGCTAGGAAGTCAGGAGAAATACCTTATAAAGTAATTAAAAATGAAGTTTCAACAGAAAAATATATCAAAGAACTAAATGTCTAATTAGGGATGAAGATGAAGTTTTCAGAGTCAAGACAAAGTTGCTGGGGAAAAATGATACAAGAGATTTTAGGTTTCCTGTCATCTTTCCTGAAAAACATTACTAGTAGAATTTCTTATCAAAGAAACTCTCCTAAAATTTATGGACACTGGATTACGTATTCTGTTAGCCAGTTTAAGAGAAAACTTTTGGATTGTTAATGGGTGAAGACTAGTACATTCAGTAATTAAAAGGTGTAGTTATATGATGCCAGAGATACAGTGCCAAATGCATCGAAACAGAACCTGTTAGTTTGCCGTCTTACAGAATAGAGGAGGTTTCTGCCTTTGAAGTTGTTGGGATGGATCTATCTAGTCTACTTAATTTAAGAGAAGGTGATAAAATCTAGATTGTTCTTTATACTTGCGCTATGTACTGAGCTATACTTTGAGAGTTCATCATTTTCCTTTCCACAGGTGTTCCTTTTGAATCTTAGATTATTTATTGCCTACAGGGGTAGAGCCAGAATTATATATATTGTTAAATGGCAAGAACTTCATAGGGTTGGAAAGCATTTTTCAAAGCTTCAACTTGGGGGGGGGGGTCCCTTTGAATCAGAAGCTTCCATCACTTTTAAGATTGAATGGAAATTAGTCTCTCCTTCTGCTCCCTAGTGCTCCTAGATTTTGGGAGCATATGATTCAAATGGCTAAATGAGTATTTTGACAAGTTTCAGGCAATGCATCTGTCTGTTATGCGGAAATGAACAGAATCCTTTGCAACTGTGAAACTGTGATATCTTCAAGACCATTGACTGATGTGTTTGAAGACCCCAATTATTTGATTCTGTTAAACCCTGCAATGTTCCTGCAGGATAATCCGATGGAGGGAGTTTGAGATCTTGATCATTTTAGTAAGATCAGTGTCAACAAAAGAGGGAGATACAATGGACCCTGAGAGAACATCTAAGAAAGAGGTTCCAGTTGGAGTATTTGGGTACTTACAGTCAACCTCAGAAAACAAGTAGTTGCTATAATTTAAAAATAGATGATGATCTCATAGAAAATTATTCAAAGACAATTTTCTGGGCTCTAATAAAAGTTGTTGAAATATATCTGGGAGAAGATGACAACATTCATATTGTGCATTTAAAGATTTCAGGAGGTGAGATTATACAGTCAACCAAAAAGATTTATTCTTTGGAAATTAGCCCTTACTCTGCAGATATGAGTTCTAATGAAGTGTAGTCAATGAGATTTAAGAAGAATATCCCATTACACTAGAAGTGACAAAACGATTAGACCACCACCTTAAAATAGAGATACTTTGACTTATTTTGAACAACAGCTGTTTTAGAACTTAAATTTATATCTTTAAAAATTATCTTGTAACTTTAAATTTATGATTTATGACTAACTTTGATTGTATATTAGTTTTGATTATATGCTGCATAATCAAAAAGGGGGGGAATAATGTTAACCATGCAATATTTTCATTTCTTATGTCAATAATTTAATTTTGATGTTAGGATTCTCGAATTGGCAATACATGTGAAATGTTTTGATTCTAAAAGAAGAGGTTTAGAAATTTTTTTGAAATATATATAACATAATATATTTTTGGACCAATGATAATTTTCTGGAAACTCATTGTAAGAACACGCAAATGTAATTTGTATGTATATAATTTATATGTATATAATTTTTTTTATTGAATTAATTTTCATTAATATTTCTTTCTTTAAATATGAAACTGCTGTAGTTTGTTTCTGTTTATTTTTTGCATTTTAATTTGTAGTTGTTCAATTTCAAAGGAAATATATTGTTTTAAGTTAACATAAAATCTGGTCCTGCAAATTTGATGGATGATCAGAATGAAAAGAATCTAAAAGCAGCTATGACTAAAAGTTGCCATTGTTTGAAATATGAGACCTTTATCTTGAGTATGTTATCAAGCATGACGGATTTTCATGTACTGTTTGAGAGAACACATGGTCTTTATCTTCCATATTTAACTAAAGCATTATAGCCTTAGTATAAATTTAAAATCTAATGTTAGCAATGAGTGAACAATGAGTAATTGTGAAGCAAAAAGTACGATTTTTAATAGTTTAGAACTTTGTTTTGCATTTAAAAAATTATCTCTGTGATATAAATTAAAATATATTTGTTTTAATTTTATCCAAGTGATATTTTTTATGAATGCTTACGACTTTGTTGTAATTAAATTAAAATAAAAACATATTTCTAAAGCAATGAGTTACATAACTCATAATTCATGGCTAACCTAAATTAATCTAAGTTACATAACTGTTACAGAATCATTTGCTATTTAAATTGTTATGATGTTTACAATTTTTAATGTTTTAAAATATATTTTAATTTTTGAAAATTTTTAATTGCTAACTCTTCTTAGAGATGCAATACTGTAATCTGAGTCTTCAGATTGCAGTTTTGATTTATTTGTATTTCATTTATTTATTTTAATTTTATTATTTTCTTATCCTGAATTGTATTTCAGGTAAGAATACTTAAACAAAGAATAGCAATGCTTGAGGGTGAATCTGGACACCGTGTTCAAACCTCTGAGGCAGATCTTCCTATGTGACATAAAACTTCTTCCCAAAACTTTCAAGTTAATTCATCTGAGAGTTTGTATGATCTATGACTGCTGTTTTTCATAAAATTTGCCTATGTATCATCATACAGTGGCATCAGTTTTAAATACAAGGCTTATGTAGTTTTAAAAATAATAATATTTGAATTAAATTTTTAATTTTGTTTCTGTGGTACATTTGAGTTATATAATTGTCATTACTAATATTCATATTATGCACTGCTAGTAGTTCCTTTAATAAGGTTTAGTATATTTTATTTATAAGTTTAAAATTATTTCTTTAATTGTAGTAGTGCTTTCTCAATTTCAAGGAAGAATTGTCCTCATTTATATGCATAAAATTTAGGCTATTGATTGCTTTGGTGTAAAACATATCTAATAATACTTATTATTATTATATTTTTTAATTAATTGTAAGAAAAACATTTGCTATGCCATTACAACTATTATTAAAGATTTTTTTTAAAAAAATTTTATATGACATGCACAATTTGTAGCAAAATATTTAAAGTTGAAAAATTAGTAATTTCTATTAAATCAGAAAATTTTGTGTGTGTTGTCCTATGTTTATGCACTATTTTATTTTATAATTATTGTTATTATCATTAATTTCTGTGATAAGTATTGTGATACATTTTGAAGTATTTAAAACAATTAGATACACTGATATTCTATTCATTTCTAATTTTATAGAGAAATAATTTAATGTTACTTATATCTCATATATCAGTTAGAATTATAAATTAGATTGATTAGCATGAAAATTTTACTAATTTTTAATTGACAAATGTAGAATATAGGTATATTTATTATTTAATTATATTTTCTTGTGAAAAATATTTAGAACATATTGTTCTAAATTCTGAATAACTGATAATTAAAAAGTCTCTAAAAATTTGTTTCTTTATTATAATTTTCATTTTGAATGATATTGAGTTTGTACTGAAGTTTCCGAGGTTTCATAAGGATGAAAGGCATTGTTTGATAAATTTCATTCTGTACTTGTTTATGTCTTAATATTTTTTTTGGGGGGAGGCACAAAAAAGAACCAATACTTATTAAACAAACATAATTTTTTTTATTTGTATGCTGTTTTCTACTGTGATATCAAAAGAAAATTTTCATTCTAAAATAGGTATGTCCTTTTTGATCACATAAAGAGAATCAAAAGTTGAGTGAAAGAAATTCTTATTTTACTGTTTCATTCTGAAAACATTAAATATATACATAAGAGAAGTAACTATTTTCAACACTTAATTTAAATTCTTATATTTCAAGTATTGAGATTTCATATATATATATTATTGAGGATATTGTCATCCATAAAATAGTTTTTATTTCATTTGTTCATAATTTCATTTGTCAATAGTTTTTCTTATAAATTTTGTAAAATGTCCACGCATTGGGATGAAATGTATTCTTTTTTAACATTTGCAGCTTACGAATGTTATATTATAGCATAAGCATTATTACTAATTCTTTAATTAGCATTGAAATTGATAAGAATACATATAGTTTAACTCTCAGGCACCATTACTGTCAGAAAAAATTTGCATTGCTATCCTTGTGATGTAAATTATATGCAAATTAAATTTTTTATTTAATGTAATGAATCTTACATCTCATTTTTTAATTATTCATGTTGTAAAACTGCTCGTAGTATGAAAAAAAAATGGAACTATGTTTTGTAAAATAGAAGAGGAAAAGTTTTCAGGTTTCTGGTAAATATGTTATGTAGTCTGAGATTGCTCTTTGCTGATTAAAAGTCAAAATCCACTTTTTTACATTTGACTTGATTATATAAAAATGGCATTTAATCTTTAGTAAGAGTTTTAGGGATTATTTTTATGTTCTTGCTTAATAGATTTTGTACATTTTTAATCCTGTGATTGTTGTGTTCATTTAAGGGGGAAATCTAGTTCTTTTTCTAAATAAATGTTTCATATTCTTAATATTTCTTATTCTAATATATTTAATTTTACATCATGCAGGAAACAAATAAAGTGTTAAAACAGAAACATAAATTAGTGCCTAAATTTTATTCATATATTCATGCTTGCTGGTGCCACTGATAATTTAAATTTGTAAATTTGACTCATTTTTTTCAGCAATCATTTGTGTGTGTGTGTGAATGTGATTGTCAGTCAAACTATTCAATTAAATTATCTGATGTATATATTTAAACAAAGAATTCCAGTCTTGTAAAGTTACCATTCATCTTGGTAAGGCAATAATCATTGTAGTCTCAAACTTCGATGTTAATAGATTTGGAATTAATAAGCAGCTACATGTAAATAAGCCAGTACCTGTACAATATAACATCCTTATTGCATTTTTTAAATTCACTTTTAAAATGGTTTACTTTTGTGTTTTATTTTAACCAGCCCAATTCAGGATATATTGCAATAGCTTTTCTATTGGAGTAGAATTTCTCTTACGAGTTGTGATTGGAAAGATGCAAATCAATCTCAGGTGCAGGTACAGAATTATAGTGCCAAATGATATTCTTCTGATAGAGAATTTTTTTAAAATCCCTTTTGTGAAACTGAAAGTGTTGGTGCTTTTACTAAATTAAATTTTTAAATACAGTCAAAAGTCGTTAATTCGGACACCCATAATCCGGAATGATCTATAATCCGGACCTCAAAGCTACAAACTTTCTGCGCATGCGTCGCGTTGACGCATGCGCACAGGCGTTTACGAGAGCGCGTAAGACCCTTACGGCTGCGAATATGTTTGTGCGCATGCGCGTTTAATGTGTAACTATACGCTAAGCTAAAGTTATCTAATTCAGTTAATGTTGCTGATTGCGTTGTTCCTTAATCTTCGAATTGAATGTGGCTTATTATTTTTTGCAGACTGTTAGAGCAATTTTATAAATGTAAGCTTGAACTTTCGATTATGTCAAATAGAATTTCCGATATATATTTACTACAAAGCGAAAGTATGTTTCGAAATCCGAAATCTGTTTATCAATTTCACGCTGCTCTGCGGCAGAGGGGGGGGGCAGAAACGTCATTATTAGATTATGATAGATTAGAAAGATTATGTCAAATAGAATTTCCGATATATATTTACTAATATGTAATTTGTATCTACAAAGCGAAAGTATGTTTCGAAATCCGAAATCTGTTTATCAATTTCACGCCGCGGATTGGAAGTTGATCTGTCAGCACTATCCTTATCTTCAGGGCAGATGTTTTTATTTTATTTGGTTTATAATTCCGTACTAAGTGTAGTATTTCATCTCGATATACTCCGTCTTTGATATGATTTAAATCAAGTTCCTCGTCATTATAATTCGCTTCCGATAGTGAAGAAAGTGACCCAGAGGTTATTGAAAACGAAAACATTTCGATTGACAAATTAGTCGGTATTCTCAACACAGCAATTATAGGACTTGAACAGCGGAACTTTGTAACTAAACAAGAAATTATGTCTGTTTAATAGAATTAAAGAGAAAGTATTATCACATGAAACGAAGCAACTTACATTGAAGGAAATGTTTAATAAAGTAAACAAATAAATATTAAGCTTTTTCTTTTTGTAAATTTGATACCCTTTAGATCATAATTGTTCTTTATTTCATAAATTACGGTTTCATATTTTTAATTTTGTAATTTCTGCATGCCATCTTACGAGATTTAAACTGATGATCTATAATCCGGAAAAATCGATAATCCGGAATCGCCGAAGTCCCGACGAGTCCGGATTAACGACTTTTGACTGTACTATGGTAGGGCTTAAAATTTCTTTCAGTTTCATGATATTGTGTAATTTTGTACCTTGTTAGAAAAGTGCCATTGTTCAAAATGAGTTAAATTTGAGACTATTGCGCCAGTCACATCCAAATAATGAATGCTATCACAGAAAAGGATCAAAGTCTTTCTACTAGGCTACACTAATCTGAAAAGGCTAGTGTGCTATAAATGCATTGGTATTAAAAGAACCAGTGCAGAAATTGGTGCATATTTTGAACATCTATCTTTTTGCTGCCAAGGTACAGAGCTTTTTTTTCCTTAAATCAAAATAATAGGGAAGAAGTTTATATTCTAGAATTTTTTATGCATATCATGTATAAAATTATTCTGAAAATATTGAAATAAAATTTGTGTTTGCTGTAAGAAATTTTATAAGCATTTTATTTCTGTATCAGAGCACAATTTATTATGTGGGAGGGAAAACGATTTTTCTTCTGTGAAATTTTATTCATTTTTTTGTGTTCTTTTTCTGAATTTTTATTGCCTTGATGTGGCTAGCATCATATTTAATTTATTTATAGTTTTTTACCCTGTTGCCATTAGTTAGTTTAGTTATAAAACCTGCCACTGGAGGAATAGAGTTAATTTTTAATAGTTATCTATAAAAATTGTAGCACTTTATAAAGTCCTTTCAGAGCTGGATTAAGACAACATTGAAATTGGTATATTTATAACTTGTTACATTTGATATATTAACAAGTAATGTTGATATGCTGCAAATTTATTTCCAATATTATAATTAAAATAATTTTAGAATCATTAAATACATGAAAAAGTAATAAGTGCAAATCTGTTTTAGTTTTTAATATTTGTTTAGTTTTTAATATGTAGTTTTTAATATTTGGAATTTATGTGAATAAATTCGTAAGACCGAATGCATACATTTAAGGTATTAAATTTTATCAGCACCAGATTAGGAATTTTTGAGCTTTAAGCACTTAAAAGATTTTGATATTTCTAAATACATTAATACCTGCTTCTGCATCCCCCCTTTCCTTCTGTTTCAGTCTTGGTTTAATTGCACCATACATTCCATGATGAAACTGGCAATGGGAAAATTTGTGGTACCTCCTTTTCTTAATGCCCTAAGCATGTACTTAGTTTGCTTAATTGTTAATACAGCTCTGAATTCTATTTATTTTTATATCATTTAATTGCATTGATTGTAACTTCTTAAGCTATAATAGTATGCAATAATTTTCTAATTTTAGAGACTGAAATATAGTTTAGTAATAAAGTATTTTAAATTTATTATTTTGATAGGAATAATTTTTTAAATATGCACACATGCTTAATAAAATCATTTTAAATTGTAATGCAAGAGCCTTGACAAATCAACATTTAATCATTATTCATGCATTTAAGTACCCACAAAACTGTAACTGGCGTTGTAAATTTAAATCAAACATTTTTTTCTAGTATTAATTTTTTATATGTAAATTTAATCAGTATCAATGTAAAGTTTTCCTTAACATTATTAATTTTTTAGATTTGAGAATGCTTCATTTTTAACGTTAAAAAGGTAAGTCATAAGGTTGTTAAAACAAAGGTATTCTGCAAATGTAAACCATACTTAATTGTAACTAAGAAGATAATTTACACCATATTCACAAAAGTTCTTACTAGCCTCTATTTTCCCAATTGTTGGTCATAGACATACGTACATTTCAAATTATAAAAATGTTTTAAATGATGCAAATATTCATGTTCTAAAGTTTTAAAAATTAAAAAAGTGTCAGTTTTATAAAATATAGGAAATTAAACTTCTTATATGGTTTACTGGTCCCTAAGGTAAATTTCTTTCTTATTTGGAAAAATAAAAACCAAAAAGTTTGACTTCCATGGAACAAAAATTTCCCAATATATATTTATTTTTAAAATTTGTGATTTATAGCACCATTTGTAAATTGCCTTGACAGATTGGTTAATAAATAAATTAGAAGTATTCAAGTTTGATTTTCTCCCTTAAATGTCGTACATTGATATTTTCTTGTGATTTACTAATGTGTAACATTTCTTAATTTATAATTTTCTTAATTTCTTAATTTATAATAATAAGTCAAAGGAATTTTCACACAAATAATTTATAACTTTTCAAGCACTCCAAATATGTAATTTATGCTGTCATGAAGTTTTATTACTTTAGAATCTTAATCATGGAAAAAATTCATTAATTTATGCAAAAGATGTTATGAGTTGGCTATCTGCCAATACTGAAGCCTGCCAGTGTTTCTAGAACATTAATTCTATAAGAATTATGGAGATATGATCTTCTTTTCAGAAATGTTAAGAGTGATCAATGATTTTAACTACAATATACATAGAAATGCTCATATAATTTTATTTTTAATTGCATACAAATGGAAACATTTTTCCCTTTAGTTTGTGTACATTCCCCAAATATGATTTCTAACTTTAAAATGAAATATGTGGGTTAAGTTTTGTCATTTTAAAATCACAGATTTTGCTTTTTTTTTTTTTTTTTTTTTTTTTTTTTTTAAACACTGAGTATGAAATTTTCCTAAATATTTCTGTATAATAAAGGGGAAATCTTTTAGGTTATGTCATAACATTGACCTTGAGCTATCAACCTATTACTTCACTGAATGGATTTATCATGAAGTACCATTTTCTGTTTTCCCCCTAGCGTACATTATATAATTTTTTAATTCATTAAATTGGCCACTCAGTACAATACCTAAACTTTCTTTCCCGCTCTAGATTTAGAAAACTTTTAACATTTATATGTTATTAATAAAGAAGCTAAAATTATAGCAAGTATTAAAAATTTTGTCACCTTTATTTGATAAATTGAATGACCAATTTTTTTTCCAATGAAATGTCTCACTATAGAAAAATATATACTATAAAAAAATTGCTGGCCACAAATTTCTTTTCTTATGATATCTGTGAAATCACAAGGATGTATTTTACCTTTCATGTTATTCACTTTGTAATTTTTAATTATTCATGAAATGGTTTTTAACAGCTCATTCTGCTCTACTTTTTTTCACCTTTTTAATGACTAATGACATGATTTTTTAATAGATGATTCTGTCTATTTCTATAACAGTTCCTTGTCCGTTTTGTAAAGCTGTTTATTGTTAAGCAAAATATATAAATGTATAATAACTGTAATGTTTATTGACTGTGTAAAGTATGAACAAATATGTTTTTGGAAGCTGTTATGTTGTTAAAATGTTTGATTTTGTACAAACTCATTTTCTTGTTATAATTATTTGCTTAGATTTTATCTTACAAAATATTTGCAAATATTTGTAGATTTGTACTATTGAAGTGCTTAATTAGTGTGTTTTATTTAATTTTTTAAGAAATTTTATAATATATGCCTTGTAAAAGTACAATATATAAAATGCATTTTGTCTGCATTTAAGGATGTGATGCTACTCCAATCAGTCATTAATTATCATTTATTTGAGATGAAAATGGAATAATCTCCCATTTTGAAAGGTCCAGATCCATCAGTTTTTTTCCCTTTAGTTTGATTAAGTGCTTAATTAAATATCAGAACTGCAACTAAAAATTCAAGTTTACAGTGAATTGTTAGAATTCTGTCAGAAAAATTTGAGCAAGTTAAATGGGACTGAAAGCTGAAATTTTTTATTAAATTTTAAAGTATATTTTTGATTGTAAAGTTAATCCACTTTGCTAAGTATACATTTTCATTTTATAGAATTTTGAATTATTTAAGTTTTTTATTGCATTTTTAATAGTGTACATATTATTATTTACTTTATTTTTAATTTATCATTTTTACTCATAGTCTACTCATAGTTTACAATAATACGTTATAGCACTTTGAGAGAATTATTAATTAATTTTCATTTTTGGTTTATTTGTGTATATAACATTTTAAACTTTATTATCTGTTTATAACTGTATCCATTTTAAGTTCTATTTAATCTCTGTAATGTATCTTATCTTGTATAAAGGTTTTACATTATTTCATGCTTTGATGTTCATTAAGCTAATTTGCATTTATGCATATATGTAAATAAACTTTTAAGTCTGTACTTTTCTTGGCATTTATTTTGATTCATTGATGTATTACATTGTGTCATTTGACAAAACCATTATTTTTTAAATCTGAAATGTTGATTATGTCGGTTAATGTAATTCAGTGAACATATTTTAAATCATTACACTTGAGTATTGCTTTGAATATAGTTCATGCCCCATATACGAAACATATTTACACAAGTATTTGTAATTTTAAAGAATTTTTGCTAAATCTCACTGAAGTTGCTAAAAAACTGAAGCTCTGATTTCTATTTTTCATTGCTAAAAAGATAATGCTTCATAATTGCAAATCAGTCTTGAGATTTCACAAACAGGGGGAAAATACATTTCCCTCCTGAATCTAATTGCCTTACCATGGTATGTATATTATACTCTGAAAAGTAATTGATCTCTCCTCCCCCATGATGGCGAATTGGGTTATGCTGACTAGAAAATACAATGTGAAAATACATCTGATTCTTAGCAAATCTGGGAAGATATTAAAAATAATAAACTTACTGTATTTATAATGGTATTAATAATCTTTCTTATGATTTAAAAATCATATTGTTCTTAAAGTTATTGAGAATGGAACCCATATTTACTTATAGATTATTTCTTAATTCATGGTCATTTCATTCTGTATCATTTTATATGTAATTAGTTATTTAGTTTTCAAATTATGTTGAAAACGTGATTTAAAGGCAAAATCTGGTAATGCATTCTACATTACTTGCTAGCATTTATATTTTACTCAAGTTATTTATCAGTTAACATCATTTTTAGAAATTGAATTTTATGTTGTAATTTATAAAGAAATCAAAATTCCCACTGTTGTTGTAAGTAATTAAAAGTTCTTGCAATATTTGGCAACCATCATAAAAGATTTGAAAAACTATTTTTGCAATACTATATCTGCATCTGTACTACCATATCTGTATTTGTACTCTTACAGTTTACACCATTATAAAATATTTGTTGACTTTTATAAATTATAAACAGCAGCTCCTAATCATCAAAGATAAGTGAGTCACTGACTAAATCAGTCAGTCAGAAATTTTAATTTGTCATATATTTATTTAAAACAAAGATGAGCAAAAAATCTTATATTTTGATACATTTACATGCAATATTTTAATAGCTCTAGAACATTTCTGACACAAAAGTGAATATATTTGTTTTGCAAGTAAAAAGATAATAGTCACAAGAGCAGTTCTGAAATGTAACAAAAATTTAGCTTTAATTTGTAGTTTCAGTCATGAGATTATGAATATTAGTGTACTGTATTTTCCACATTGATGAATATGTAAAGCAAACATAGCAGTGATGATGAAAAAGACAAATTTAGTGATGAAGTAAATTCAATGCAATTTTTACCTGTGGAATTGTATTATTGCTTATTTCTGGTTATTTTTCTTAGATGATTAGAATTAGATATATTTAGTAGTAGAATGTGTGCTAAGGAAAAAGAAAGATATTCTTTTTGCATAAATTTAGAGCCAAAAAATTCAACCTTATACTAACTTAGATTTTATATAAAACTACTGATATCAAGAGTGACTGACATAGGTTCATCTTGAGAAACATTTGCTTCTAAAGAACAACCAAAATTAATAGAGTTGACAAATCGAAAGTTTTGAAGTAAGATTTCACTTTAAGACTTCACTAAAGATATTGTCATTATAGCAGATACTAGAAAGTTAATAGTAAGTGAAAATTTTGAATTTGTGATGGTCATTGTTGAAAAAGTTTGGATTGTTCTGAAGGAAGTCATTTTATTAAGTGTTTCTGCTAACAATATAAGCCACGAGTTTATGACTGTGGTTAAGAATGCAATGTAAAAATTCAAATCTTTTGTTTTGACATAGATTAAAACTTCACTTCTTTCCAAAAGACCAAAGAGAGTACTTTAAGCACACTAGATACAGGTTTTATGTACCAAGACTCAAGCTAATTAGTCTTTAGCTGAGAATTTTGTTGGTATAAGTTACTGTAATATTAATGCATGCTAAAAATGTATATAATGGCATTTTCTGTTTATTCAAAGTATTTTTTGTTGAAATGTACATAATGCTGTTTGCTGAATTTGTTTTATTTATTCTTTTATTATTACTTTCAACATGTTCTATAAGTATTAACTCCAATCAAGACATCATTAATACAAATGACAATAATCTTTGCATGATGGAGGAATATAACTTTCATATTCAGTATTCCTAAAAATTTTTTAATTAAAAAAAGTTCTCAAAACTTATAAAATTTTAGAGGCCTAAGTGATGTTTTTATTTGGGGAAGGATGGAGAGAGATATATCACTGTACGCAAATTTCATATAATAGCATATAAACTCATACCTCTTAGATAATGTAAACATGTAAATACTCTGAAATATTTGTTACCATTCATTTGTCAATATTTACTATTCATGCTGTTTTTTAATATTTTTTTAAGAAATTCATTTACTTCTTGTGCTCAGAATTTTAATCAAAGAATTATCATGAATTCTTTTTCCAATATGTAGTCCAGTGAACTGAAATTTCTCCATATTCCCTTGTAAAAAGAATGTGCAGCATTTTGAAGTTGTCTGACTATTGAGCTGCTTGTTGAACCTGAAAGTAGGAATAAAACATTGATTAAAGTATTCAATTTAATAATTATTATTTCTAAACTGTATACAAGAAGATAATCTTAGTTTAATGCTTAGCAAATTTTCATAAATTCAGAAATAGTCAGATGTACTTAAAATGATCTTGAAAACTGAATTATCAAAAAAAAAAAAAAAAAAAGTAAAGCTTCGATTACCCAATTATCCAGAATGAGTTGGAACTATCAATTCATCCCCTATATTCCCCAAGCGTTCTTTTATTTTGTAAGTTTAACTAGTAATGTAAGATCATGGTTCAAATCCATCGGAGGGCAGGATTAAATTTGCATGTTTCCTTGACTGAAAATATGACAATATCTACGGTGGTCCCGAAATAAAAAATTCAGTGAACTATATTTCTTCACCCCCTGCATTTGTTCGACTGATCTCATGGCTTTAATCAATTGTGTGATTAAGTGGGGATTGAATGTTTAATAGTTTTTTTTTAAAAGCATTTTTAAATTCCTGTCATAATGTTGACTGTGAGAAAAAGAACTATATGTTTTCAGTTATTCCAAAACATGTTGCAACTACTGGTTCTTGCTTAGCTACAGTAATTTCTACTAAATTTAGCGAATGGTTATCAAAATTTACAAATAAGGCTTCATTATTTTTTTCTGTTTTTCTTTGTTGAACATGACGTGCCGTGACATCACGGCAACATTATCATAACATTGTAATCTGTAATTTGTTAACAAAATTTGATCCAGATTTAATTTTTACAAAATTGTATTATCAATCAAGACTGCATCTTTAGCACATATTTCAATTAAATCCCCCAAAAAGGTCTTTGACAGAAAATTTTCTCTGGTAGTAACATCAATATCTATATGCCCAAAGAATTGCAATATTTGTTCTTGATCATCAGGAGTGGAATCGAATAAAGGCACATAATATTTATTTCTTTTTATGTCGATTATTAGTTGATTATTACAGTTTGGTGGCTGAATTAATAATAGTTCAAATTTGAAGGGCTTATAATAGAATAAAAGACTACAGTGTATGGTTTGTTATTTTAAAATAACTAGCATGAGCTGTACGTTCATTTTGTTTAAAAAAATAAAAATATTTTACTAGTTTAGATAAGTAAAGTGTTCATAAGGAACTTTTTGCATACGGAGATATTTGACTGATTTACCGCAAACATTATTTATAAAATATTTTATCAGACAAATCAAGAAAGGAAATAATAAGATATAATACAGTAATTATTAATTTAAAATTTATTTCCCAGAAACCGATCAAAATGAAAATCGAAATTTCCTGGAAAATCTTGTTTGTCTTGGGGACCATTTGGCACCCCTCTGGGAGTGGTGCCCGGGGCATGATAGACCCCTTTGCCCCCCCCTTTGCTACGCCACTGGCTGAAAGCTACTGTTATTCCTATATTAAAGAAGAATAAACCTAGTGATCAAATTAACAGTTACAGACCTATTTCCATGACCTGTGATCGGACGAGAACCGGTACTTGTATCTTGGCTAAAGTAATGGAGTGCATGATTACAACAAGGTTGAGTTGGTTTTTGGAGTATAATAATCTATTATCTCCAGCACAGGCCGGTTTTAGAACGTGTAGCTGTACAGGTCAGCAAGTTATCTACTTTAGTCAAGACGTAAAGGACTCGCTAGATAAACATAAGTCCACCATGGCAGTTTTTGTGGACTTTAAATCCGCCTGTGACAGAATTTGTCACTTAAAGCTTATTGATTTATTAGGATTCTTTATGGCCAGAGCATGTTCCTTTTTAGACAGACAAAAACTGGTCTCCCTGAGGGCACTGTAGTGAGCCCCTTATTATTTAACATTTATATAAATGATTTGCCTGATATTCTGATGTCTGACCTTACAGTTAAGACTACACTGTTCGCTGACGATCTAGTCTTCTGGAGCTGTGCTCCGAAGAATTGAAAGCAAAGCTTCAATGTTAATCTCGGTGATGCTTTGGGGAGATTGGACTTTTGGTGCAGAAATAATGTGATTTTAATTTTGGTCAAAACTAATTGTCAGTATTTTACCTTGACTAGGCAATACTTTTTACCCTTCCTTCTTTATCGAGATGAAGTAATCTCTGTTAGTAATAACGTTACCTATTTGGGATGCAAACTTGATTTACGTCTGAATTGGAATTAACATACTTCTTATATAAAGGGAAAGTCTGAAAGGAGATTTCCAATTTTGAAACGGCTGGCGGGCTGCCGATGGGGGTGTAACAGAGAAACTGTAATAAATACGTATAAAATGTACATTCAATCATTATTTTATTACTCTAATGAAGTTTTGGTGACTGCTTCCATCTGTACAGTCGACATTTTGGCAAAATTACAAAGCCAGTCTCTTCGTCTAATAACAAGTGCTTTTAAATCAACCCCAATAGCGGCTATTGAAGCGCTAACCGATATTTCTCTTGTCATGCATGACGTTCATAAAAATGCTGAAATTTTGTTTAAAAAACTTTGCAGCCCCCCAAATAATAAATATTGGAGGAATTACAATTTCAACAATAATAGATATTTAAAGAGTGAAGTGGATTTCAATCAAATTGGTTATCAAATAGCAGAAGACCTAGACCTTGTCCGAAAAATGAATATAATGACTGTACCTTTGTGTCCTCTTGACTACGGTGACTTTTGTGTATATCTTGAACGTGACGAGAAAATAAGAATGAGATGCTCGCTGCCCGGATCAGAGAGCCATTGCTTATGAAACTATTGAGAGAAGATATCCTAGTAACCTCTGGACCCATGTTTACACTGATGAATCCATGATTGAACGAGGTTTTGGAGTTGGTGCAAAAATCTAGTGTAACCATTTTGCATTCTATGAGGCAGTGGGAAGAGATAGTGGTGAAGTTGAGGCTATATTTATTGCTCTAAATCAATTAAGCGCACAGAAGAGTAATTTGAGTCAGGTAGTTATTTTTTCCGATATGGATATGGATGTGGAGAAATGTGATGTTTAACCATTGGCCATTGTTTAACCATTGGCAATGTGGGTATTGTCCAGCCACACTAGATATGCAGATAAATTACACCCCACAAGACTTACAGGGGATCCTGCCAGGAGTTGCTTGCAATGCTTTGTATTTTACCAGACCGCGGGCAGTGCCTTTCTTTTTTCCTTTAATATACATTGCTGTTTTTACAGTTGGTGCCTTATGCACTTACATGCTGTGGAGGACAGCTCCAGGTCTGCTTGCATACTATGTTTTAAGTAATAGCTTTGTTATATTATTCTAGGATGTGCTGCATACCTCAGTGCCTCTTGTGAACAGGAAGTTCTTTATAATTATGATTTTTTTTCGGAGATGGATGTTCTTGATAGCATATCTAATAAAGGGAGTCACTTCACTCTCTGAATTCCGGACTTTTAGATGATGTTCAGCTGTAAGGGGGCATTTGAATATATAATTATTGGGGCTGCCTCTTTCTCCACATGCACATTGATCTGAAGTTGCTAGTTTCTTTGCATAGAAGTACGTGGGAAAAGGGCCATGCCCCGATAAGAATCACGTTATTTCTCTAGTTATTAAACTGGGAGCTGTGCCTACTTTTGTGAATAACTGATAAGTCCTTCTTCCTTGTTCGGCGTTGTCCCACCAGTTCTGCCATTCAGCTTTAGATTTGATGGTTAATATTTTTTTATGGTGCGAGGCAAGCCATGGTACTGATAAATTTTATGCATTTTGACCCCTAGCTGCTTCTTTGGCTAGGATGTCAGCCTCCTCGTTGCCTTTTGTCCCTGCATGTGCCTTCAGCCGAGTGAGAAAGAAGTGTTGATTTTGTGATGCTGAAGTTCTTTCTGTAATCTCCTGAATTAATTTTGATCGGTGGCGCGGGTTTGCGATGGCATGCATCGCTGAAAGACTGTCTGTAAAGATATGTACTGCTTTTAGGGAGTTTGTAATGCTGTATTTTATTGCTTCAAGGAGCGCTACTGATTCCGCTTGGAATACAGTATTTTGTTGATCTAGGTGGAACTTCTGTTCTGTTGTCGAAATGGGATCTAGGTAGATTTTGATTGCGCTGCCTTTACCTTGTTCTAGGCCGGAACCGTCTGTAAAGAGTTGGGGAATTTCTTTTCGCTTACTTCTTTTTCATGCTTAATGTGATATTTTTCTTTCCTGGGGGGGGTGTTCATATGGGTGTGCCGGTGTCTCGTAATTCTATGCTAAAAGTTCTAATGATTTGTAATTGCTCTTCTTTCGTAGTTGTAGTACTGTTGTCTTATGGAATTCTTGTTCAGCGCGTATAAAAAGTGGAGTGCTGTTGGCGATTTGGAAGAGTGCCGCATTTGATGTTGTTCTGTAGCGTCCTGTATAGTTAAGAAGGAAGGGTCGCTGGATTGTATGAAGCTTTTTTTGCTTTCTTTTTTGTCATTGGTTCTGCCCATATGGCTGCTCCGTATAGGGAAATCTTCTCGATTACTGTATGGTAGATGAGGTGTTGGATTGGTCTGCTCATTTCCCCCATCCTATTCCACTCATTCGCTTTAGATTGGTTGCTATTTTGGAGATCTTGCTTTTAATGTAGTCTAGATGGTCTATAAAGTTAAGTTTTTTTTATCAATGATGACACCCAGGTATTTTAGGGAGTTAACAAATTTTATTTTAATTCCTTCTATTTCGAATCTTGGAAGTTTTGTTATCTTTTGTGAGGATTTGTGGATAATTAAGGCACGTGATTTTTCTTGAGAAATTAGTGGATTAAGCTTCTCAATAACAAAGTAACGTCATCTTTTGTCATTGCGAATTAAATTAGGCTTAATTCATCCTGGAATTATCATTAAATTATTAAAGTATCCCATACATTGACTTGCATAGCGTCCGCAATTAACTAAACCAGTTTCTACTCCTTCAGTGCCTTTTTGCCAAGTGAGACCAAAAGTAAACTTTTAGTTTTGTGCACCAAAAAAAATCTGTCTTTTTCCCCACTGGCCGAATTGCTTGTTTTTGAATAGAAATTGTA